GCTGTGGAGAAAACCACTGTCATGCACTTGTTTTGGAACTGCAAGGCAGTAGTTTCTATGGGTGCTCCAATTTGCATTTTGAAACGGTTAAAAACCTCTCCCTTTCCTCCATGATTTGAAAGACTGCTATTGTATTCCCCTCTCAGTTGTCTTTCATGCAGGCTGAGAATTTCTAATATGTTCTTCCAATGAAAAGGCTTCATTTTTCACCTATATTCTTTCCATTTCTAATATATTTCTTTGGAGAGAACTAGAACTGCAAACAGATAAACCAGAGATTATAAACAGCAAAATAGAGTTTTCTAGTTTTCCACCACTTTCCTAATGATTTGTAACAAGTTGGTTTTCAGACTTCCCTCAACCCTTTTAAAAATTGTCAGATTAGACACTTTAAAATCTTCTAGTATGCAAGTCACAAGCTATTTATCAGTTATTTTTCAGCTATTTCACCTTTAAATTCCTGGTGCACTGCACGTGGAGATTTATTCTTTATTAGTTCAACAAGATCTGCTACTGGCATTTCATTTAAAACAGACAATCTGCCAATTCTCCACAAGCAATAATCCAGAATGGGAATAACCCATAAAAACTCCATGGTGAAAACAGATTTTAAAATGTGCATTTTTCTGTTATTACTTTCAATTGTGAGAAAACAAGTGAAAAATATTTTTAATATTTAATATTTTTAACTGAACTTAGTAACTGCACTGAAGAGCATATCCCATTCTAAATAGCTTTTCCCCCCAAATTTCTACACCTTCTAATTGCTGTAAGATCCACAGTTGAATGATATAGGTTTATGGCTCTGCTAATTTTTAAGAGTACTAGATAGTGCTACTCTGTGAGCACTGAATTATCTGCTGCTCACAACTGCCCCCTTTAACTCAGTCATTCAAATTGAGCATAAAATTTGGTTGCTTCTAGACCTTGTTTTTAAGCCCTTAGTATTCATAAGAAGTTAATTCTGCCAGTTAAACATTACTGCAAGAGTGCAGTGTAACTCTACAAATACAGAGGTCTGATTGAAATTTCCACATCTAATAGGATTCATTATAAAATGTTGCTTGCTTTCAGAGTTCTGAGCTTGACCAGAATCTTTAATCCTTAACAGAAATTTAAAGAACTATTTGATGGTTGAAACTATGTGACAAGTGGGCTGGAGCTGGAAACTTTTCCATCTATATTCACAGAAGAACAACACCTGGGTGTTTTTAAGGATGAAAGATGTACTGATTTTGAACATGACATCTGAAACAGACCAAAACGTTAATGTGACACAAAAAGAAATGCTTTGAAATGCCCTTCAAAGCAGCATTGCAAATCTGCAATAAATTAAAAAAATAAAGCAAACACCACAACACAATTCCTGCAGGAGTCTGTTCTTATCCTGTCCAGGTCAGGCCCCTCCTGACATGCAAATCAACATGCCATTAATTTCTTTTCCTGTTTAAGAAGCACAAGTGCAAAATTGGCATTGATTTCACAGAGGCACAGCAACCTGGGTTTATTTCTCCTAATTCTTATATTCTTAAGAAGCACTGATAAGTCCATGGAAACAGATGACAGATACAGTGGAACCAGTGGGTTCATCGTTTTCCAAACTACTTGAGGTGCTCTGCAATTCTTTCCACCCTCTTTTGGTCATTTCCAAGGCGAGTGATATGTACACAGTAGTTTATTTTCTGCTAGAAAATATTAATTTATAATCAAAAAGGGACAGAAGAGGCACAAGGATTCTAAAGTGCATCAACACTAACTGTGACACAGCGAGTCTGCCCTGGCTCACTGTCCTGCTCTCTGCAGCAAGTGAAATGCTCCAGAGATACACAATTTCAAATCAGCAAAGGTTAACAAGGTGCCTCATAACAGGAGGGCAGAGGGGGTCAATCTCTTCAGCTTTCCAGTAACAGAAAATGCAGAAGAAATCAAGCCATGTTAGAAATACATTTACATGAAGTGCATTTGGAAAAGCAGTGGGCAAGGTCCGTGCCCTTCTGTAACACCTTCATTTGGTAACCACATCTTCCCTTAATAGTATTACACACATGAGCTAATTTGCAGTCAGGTTAAGCACCTTAAGGCTAATTTCCAATTAGCTTTAACTACAATTGTCAGTACTTAGCATATCTAAAAATTATGCTTAACCAAACCCAAAATTTCAAACTTTGCCTCTTCCAGCTGGCACACTTTGGCTTTCTTCAAAGTTCATTTGACACCTTTTTCTCAGAATTAACCAGCACAACCAAGAGTCAGTTTTTGCACCTCAAGTTATGGTCACTCAACTAATGGCAGAGAAATCTCAACTTGAAAAGATGTTGGTAATGATCTCACTAACATCAACATTCTGCAGTATTGCTACTTTCCTTTACATTGATATACCACAAGTAATTTCTCATGTAGCTGATACAAAGAGTTTTATGTGCCTTTTAATCTTCTGCCGCTGGAGAAATAAATGATAAAGCAGTAAAAATAATGTTTATTATGAATAAGAGGACTCTCGCAAATGAGCTCAATCATTTATCCTAATTGCACCCCCAGTCCTTGTCTTTCAGTACATACTGGTAGCCTGGTAAATACCCCCTTCCACAATTTCAACATTGAATCAAATTCTCTGTAATCAGGAGCACATGTTTTGGCACAGATTTAACAAGATAAATGCACAGTGCTGTTATTGAAGTTTTATAAATTAATGCTTTCCTGGTCACTATAAAATGTAAAATATATATTCAGCAAGTATGTGACTACATAACTGATCAGAGAGGTGGCAATCACTTCAGATGTTTCATCACATTCTATCCTCAGAGCATATGTTTATTTAGGAAAATTTCTTTTTTTCACATGCACAGTGGTAGAAAACAAAGCTATTTGCCAGACAGATACTCTTCCCAGTCACGCATCTGTTACTGAGATCAAAAAGTGGTAGGAATGCCATTAATCCATTCTTCCACAAGGAAAGATCACAACAGGTACAATGATCAAAGTTTAATAAGAATTATGGAAGCTTTAAGTCACTTCTACAGATAATTCTTGTTTGCTTTTTTTTGAACAATTAAAAGACAAAGTTGAGCAAATGGACAACTGTTCACCAGAAGAATTCTGTGCTATTCTGTAATTAAAGACAAATTGGTCTTACTACATTCCATGTGTATTCTAGATAGCTATATTTAACTTTTCACATTACATATATCTGTAAATTGCTTTTGTGAATAGGTAATGAATAGAGCATATTCAAAAGAACTTGTACATTTTTCATATATACCAATTTTGCACTCTATGAATGTCAAACATTATGAGTTTATACTGTAGACATAAAGAATCTAACAGAATTCTCAAAATTGTCTTTTTGCAGACCCAGAATTTCCAATCTTTTAGAAACTTGCAATATTTTGCTTCCTTTTTTCCTATTCTCCAGAGGCTTATCCTTCAATTACAAGTTCTTTGTTTTCCACTGATGACAAGTAACAGATGAAGTCTGAGAGGAACATCTAATCCTCTACTCACTCCTGCAGATTTTGGGCAAAGTAATGAACCTCTCGCCAATTGAGAAGCTTTTTGCACTTTTCCTATTGAAAAAGAACATGCACAACATCTATACTATATGTGAATTGTGCATAATTTCCAGGCTTTCATGATGCCACTCATATAGTCATGTTCAGTCAAACTGCATGACAAGTACTGAGCTCTTTAGTAACTAATTCAATACCAACTTACAAGTGAAATTAAAAATACAGTAAGTTCTTCAAAGAATTCACAGAATGAGTCAGGTTGGAAGGGACCACAGTGGGTCATCTGGCCCAACCTCCCCGCTCCAGCAGGATGAAAAGAATAAAACAGAGCAACCTGGGAAATAAGCAAGAGAAACCAGAGCTCTTCTAGTGGTCATGGAACTGCTACATTATAAGAGTAGCAGAGATTTGGTGGGGTGAGATCCTGAGGCTTTTAATCATTTCTGTGTTAGCAGACTGATGTCTGGGTTTGAGAATGTGTAGCTAGTGACAGCAGAATGGAGGAACATGTGAAAGCCAGAAAGAGAACAATTATTGTTCCTGTCAGCAAGTCAGGTTTCCACACTCACTTGTGCATCTGAATTTGATTGATTATTCAGTGGTTTTGAACAAATGACTAACTGTTCCATACTGTCAGCTTTTCTTTCCATTACCTAAAGTCTTATTTTTCATTCTCTATTACTGGCCAGAAGGTGGGTGTTTTCCTATATTTTACAACTATCTGCCAACACTTTATAAATGATTCAAAATTCTACAAAAACCACCATTCAGAGTGAGAGGAATGTTAACAAGCTCCAGCAGTCTTGTTCAGAACTAACTACATGTGGCTGAAACAAAAGTGGAGAAATTTTGCAGCTGCTAATAATCCCCAAATAAAGAAATACAAACAGCCTGGGACAGCATATTAAAGAGTGTTTAAAGTTTGCCCTGCCATTCTATCCATGGAGTGTCAAGAATCCAGGAATCAAGGAACAGTATAAGGTTTCAATGCCTCAACTGCAAGTCAGGCTAGAGCACAAACCCCTAAATTCAGACCTGCCTGAGCAGAGCACACTATGAACACACTCAATGACACACAGTGAAGACTTGTTTCATCATTCCAAACGTTTTTAAGTGAGCTACTACAGTAAGCCACACCTGTCTGTCTGTCAAGCAATATTTCTGGTCATTGCTATCTCCAAAATTGAAATAAAACATGTACATGCACATTGAAGAAGGCATTACTGATTAACATTGAATTGCTGCACTCCCTGACCAATGTAGTCATCTTATTAGCATGCTTTTAAAGTATTAAACTACTAAAAGTCAACCCTCCAAATATGCTATTTGGATAATCAACACAATCCTATGGTTGAATATATATGAAGTTACTGCTGCCTGTTCATTAGCTGATCTCTAATGAAATTATATGGAGATCTTTAAATTATTAAAATGTTCTATTTCAGTCAGAAGCTTTTACACAAAATCTGTGTTGAGATATATCTTATCACTTACCTGATAAACATGGAATGCATTGGCAGCTTTTCCACGCAGAAAGACTGAGGGAATCCAAACATTAATAAGAGCACGATTTGATCTGAGGAGGAGAGAGAAAAACTTAAAACAGGGAATCATATTTATGAGTATGAATTGCAAAGCAATTCATACATCCAATGGTTTAGATAATGATCAAAGTGACCAACAAAGCAACTTAACATTTCAAATGAAGTATCAGAAAAATTGGAGTTCTGCCTGAACTTTTTATATGTGCTGTATTTAAAAGTGTTCCCTAAAATTAACCCAACTGAAATAGAGCACTGATATAGAGCACCGAAACAATTCCTTCTGCAGGTTTTCTGGGTTTTGTTTCTTTTTTCACAGCATGGATTTGACTACTTTTGATTATATGCATGAAACAAAAATCATTCATTTCATCAAATCCAACATTTTGGTCCACAAAACTCAGCTAAATCCAAACTCCTTGCATTCAACATTATTAAAAACTACACTAGGGCATGAAATGTGCAGCTCTCCATACTTTTAATAACAGAACAGCTAAGAATTCAGTTATTGGAAATAACATAGGAAAAGCCAATTATGAAATCTGCTTGCTTATTCTTCTTTGCCATAAAGACAGTATGAAGAGAAAAATTCATTAATTACTAAACTTACATTTCAAAATCTGACAAACTCTGATCTTCGGATGTTTGACTCAAATCTCCAGGGACCTGTGTTTACAAAACAGAAATAATTCCCACACACTGGTTATTAGGTTTTCAACTAAGAAAGCACAATATTATAAAGAAATTACAATTCAACATTCAATTTTATAAATGCCAATAAAAATTATTACTGAGAAACAATAAAAGAAAAACAAAATCGTTCAGATGGATTGTGAACACATCACCCCTTGTGAGTCCTTTGTGTTAGAATTTGCTTATAGTTTTGTAAAGAAACGGGAATCAAATCCTATCAAAAATACCAAGGTAGGTGTTGTTAGATCTGCTATTTCTTATAAGCTGTTATATATTTCATCAGGAGTTTGAGCTTATTCCAGAGTGGTAGATTCTACAGTGCCATAAACAAACACTCACCGGGCCTCTCAAATCAATTAGTTCTTGTCTCATCTGGGACACGAGAGCTTCCTTAGCCATCAGGGCACGGTGCAGCCTCTCATTGAATTCAATCAGCTCCCCATGCATTTCAGCCACCTGAAAAGCAAAGCCAAGAGGTAATTGTGCTCTAAACTGCAAAAAAAATAAAATAATCACACTCTGTAATTTCTTACATGTACATCAAATTTTATTGAGGTTTTGTTTTATTTTGCCATACTCTCCCAAGGAGTGCATCTCATTGCTAATGCATTAGTTTGACCATTAAGAACAGAGATTGTTATAATTTTGACTCATGCCTTGCAATGTAATTGTGATATTGAACTCAATAGGACCAAATACAATTCTATGCTAAATTTTATTCCTGTCACGGGAGATCCTGTGACAACTGATTCTAATAAAACACTCATTAACTTTTGTTCTCAGTTTAATTCTTGGATGAACACAGCCCTCAACAGGTACAAACTAATCACAGTATTCTGAACTGGGAGTAATGCAAATGCACAAACTGCATTAACTTTGTCAATAATTCATGAGTGATGTATTCTGCACTCTTACTTGGAGTTTTAACAGCACTGGACTAGAAGTCCACTCATCCCAGGCAAATTTGTGAGGGGTCAAAGGAGCCTAAATACCAGTTAGTTGGGGCACAGGTTGCTGAGCACAGGTAAACAGCACGGCCTCTCGTGGGGCCTCTTCAGCCCCCAGGTCTGGCTCTGTGTGTGTGCTCTCCATTTCGGAGTTAGGAAAGCAACAAGTGATGCAGGATGTGACAAGGGCTGGGTGAACATCAGGGATGTGAAGTGTAGAGCAGTTAGAAGAAAACAGCAGCACTCAGCAGTTGGCCCCTCCAGTGGGCACAGCAGCTGCCCCACCACTATCATTACACCTGTTTGCAGCTACAGCAGCTCTTCAAATGCCTCCTCATACCAGCATCCAAAGCTCAGAGAACAGCAGAGGCAACGGGGTAACAATATGAAACAAAGCTGAATAAGATGAATATCAATCCAGCACCTTCAATATTATCACAGGGACTTGGACTACTGCCAACTCTCTTAAGAGTTCATAGTTTCCTTTCTGGAGGTAGTTCATTACTATCTATGAATTTCATGGGCTCCTTTTCTTGAATTACTCTGCCTTTTCCCTCTTCCCCAGGGAAGTTCCCCAAAATAAAGCAGTTGAATTCGGTTTAATTTAGTGCTTACTTTTAATTTTGTGCTTTGTTCCACACAACCTGTATTGTTCACACAATCAAAGCAACCAGAAAAAAGCAGCTTCAATTTGACAAGGCAGGATCTGACATCATTGATTAAAAATAAAAATAATTTTCCTGAGGTAAACTTCAAGTATTCTTTTCCAATTTCTTTTTACATTAGAGGGAGTCCTTCAAATCCAGTAATTCATCAGTGTAACACGCATGCAAAAAGGAGTTTAAGCCAACTTTATAGTAGAGAAAATACTAATATAGTGCCATTTACTCTAGATAAATTATTTTCCATACTTGTTTAACCACTAATTCCAATTTAAAGTGAGTGGTGTAACATTTAAGGATATAAGTCGTCTCTGATTGTGGTTAATACTAATAGGTCACTTTTAATTACACAGAGACTTGGGAGGCAGAACTTCCTTGCATTTTACACACAAAAAGGTAGAGAATATATAGAATAGAATATAAAATACTAGTTGGAAATGCACAGAGAAAAACCATAATACTACAGCTGGTTGACTGGTTCTCAAAATCAACATACAAATTTGTGAATGGATACAAAACTTAGTAGTTTGCATATCTGAAATCATGTTTGATTTTTCAGTGCCTGTCTCTATCAGAAGAACAAAATTCAGACTATCCGATATTATATGTGACTCTTCTCTCTCTCGAATTTGGATGTCCTTGAAATAACTTTCTACTTGCAGACTCGATTAATATGTAAATTCAACAACTCTCTCAAAGCATGAGTAGTAATACAAAAATTTATAAGTGTCCCTAGCAAAGTTAAATAATAAAAAGGAAATTTAACAGCAAATCACTTGTTACATCTTATCAAAAGGACAAATTGCTAGGTATCACTTATTAGTAATTAAGTTACTTCAGTCCTTCTTCTTGTCAAAGCAAAATGCATGACCACCACAGCAAACCCAAAGGAGTGATCAGCTGTACTTCTGATATTAAAGAAAGCTAAATTAATGTTGTAATTCAAAGTCTGCTAAAAACAATAAAGAGGTCTCCATATAATTATATTCTTTCAGTTCTATCTTATGTCATCACATCTTCCTTTATTCAATCCACACTGAAGCTTAAGCAACAAATTTCCCTACTGCGACTTCAATCATCTTCACAGTTGTTTTCCTCCACAACAACATATTTGAAGCAAAAAAAAATCAAAGTACAAATAACCTAAGTTTCCCTTGGACAGATGATCATTCAGACTTGGTGGTGGCCATATCAGAAAACATGCTTATACCACTTCTTGTTTCACAGCAAAGGACTAAGCTGCTAACTTAAAACATGCCAGGAATGTTTCACTAAGCATTTGAATAACACAATCTGTCTTGGAAGGACACACTTAGAGTAGAGAAACATTTAAGAACTTGCAACAATTCAAGATTTCTTTTTAGTATTATTTGCAGCTAAAATTCATAGAAGTTTTGCACAACCCACATCTGAATCAATTACTTTTTGTCAAGTATATAGGCATTTTTTCCCCCAGTAGTCACAAAATACAAAACATTGTATCTCCCAAGAAACTCTAGACAGAACTGGAAGTTGCTTCCTTTTGCTCTTAGGGGAAGCATGGATGTATTTTTCCATCATTTTCAAAAATTGATGATCTACATTTTTCCCCAACAGAAACAAAGTCAAAGATCTTCAGAAAAAGGAGCAGGTATCCTATCACTAATGAATAATTCCATTTTTCTACAAGTGAAAAACAGTAAGACTCTAAGTGGCAAAGACAATTCTACAAATCTATTGATATAGCCATAAAATCCTCAATTATTGCTTCCTGTTTCAAAAATTCCGCAAAAGAAGTCCATACTTGTGCCAAACTTCCCTGGACAGAGGAAATTCCATCTCATCTCAGTAACAGTTTCACTTAATGAAAGCTACAGAAGGACTTGTGATTCCACAGAAAAGTGCTGACGAGTTCACTAATTTAAGACCTGTTTTCTACACTGATTTCCAACACAACTAAGATTTAATTACAAGGCTGTGTGCCATGGTAAGACCTCTAAAGAAGGATTGTTACAGGGGTTTGTCTGCCACAAACTCACAAGTGTCAGCAACAAATCCCTGAGCATGCAGAACAAACCTGGTAGAACTAAGGAGGCTTTCAAAGCTGAAAGAGATTTTACCTGTGTTCTTAATTAAGATATTCTTTTGATAGGTACAGAACAGAGGACAGGAGTCAGAAGAACTCAAGCACAAGTATGCATTAGGGAGAAAAAAGGATAACCAAGTATGAATGTTTTAGAACTGTATCAATCTCCTTGATGCATGACCTGCATTTCTAGTCCTCTTCATGTTAATCAATTAATGTGGGTATCCAATTTCAGAGTATTTTGGGCAAGAGGAAGACAGAGAATTTTTTTACTTTTTATAAAAATGTTCTTTTATTATTTACTAGGAGATATGAGTATTAGATATTAAATTTCATCACTTTTGTCTTGAAAATAATTTGTATTTAAATTTAGGATGAAACCCTAATCTATCTCTTTTTTTCTTTAATGACTTTTACATTAGTCTTAAAAGTAAATCTTGCTTTAAGAACTTTTTCTAACCTGGCCATATCAACAGAATTAGTAGCTTCCATCATACATTCCTGTAAGGCAGTATTCAAAAAGCAACACAAAAATGAAACATGGTTTGGCAATCAGAAACCAGAAGGAAAGCACAGAAAAAGCTACAGATTTCAGTATGTTCTCATTTTAAATAAAGCTCAAGTGCCAACACAGCAATGCCTGTAATTATGTACTGTAACTTACACAAAACCTGAAACCTGCTGTCTGTGATGTTTTCAACTTCACCACCATCAGTTAAAACCTCAAGGAACTTGTTTATTTATTAAAACCTTCATTTTCATACCAAAGCATAAAAATGTACCTCTGTTAGGAAAAGTACTTTTAATTATCTGGATGGCTTTAAATATGCCTTGAAGTTGAATGAAGAAAATCTACCCGCAAAAGCAAGAAAATTAAATTTTTCATTCCTTTTATTTTTGAAGAAAAAAAGTCAGACTTACCTTTTACATTACTGAGTAGAAAAATAACAGCTAAGCCAAGAAACCATTTAAGCTTCAAATGTTATAATGTAATTATGATTCTATTATATTTGTGCAGTACAAACTTTACCTCAATCAATTTTCTTTCATAAGAGCTGGCGAGTTCCTCGTTGTTCTCTACTTGCTTTTGCTCTGGAATCGTAAATTCACCATCAGTGCTCCAAATGTTTGGCAGAACTAAAGCAAAGAGATACCTCAAATTAAAATGTTAAGTTCCAGAAACATCTAAGACATCCTGTGTAGAAGCAATAGCTCTATAAGAAACAGTTACTAAAAGTATCAAAATAGAATGTAATATTAAACAGTATTAGAAGGACTAAAATACAAATTCTGCAAGGAGCCTTTTTTGTGAGCAATATTTAGAGTGGTACTCTTATTAGAAAAAAAAATGGAAACTAAAAGCAATTGGCTGTTTTCTGAGTAATATATGAAGGTAGTAACTGCAAATCCTGCCCAAAGTCTTTTAAAACTAAGTCTCTGCTTCTCTTCTAAGATTTTTTTCTACTTGGCTTCCAAAATATCATTTCATATTGCACAGACTGCTTACACATCACAGAAATTACAGAAAACAGGGCTGAGAATGGACATTCCATACTCTATCCAGTATTTCATGTTTTTGCATAAAGCAGAATCAGCTGTAGTTATTCCATTCCTGACAGTTAATTGTCTAATTTATTTCTAGAAACCTCTCTGCATAATCTATTTAAATTTAAGTATTCTTCTCATAAAAGTTGTCTTGATAGCTAATCAAACTTCCTTCACCTGCCATGTAAGCCCATTACTTCTTTTATCTGCAGTGAATGAAAACTACAGTTTATTCTATTCCTGTTCCCAGCCATCATTTATGTAAGTGATGATCACTTTGAAGGCCTGTTCTAAGTGAATTGAACTTTGTGGAACTTGGAGGGGATTTAAGTTTTCCTCGGTTTTTTTTTCCACAAATTTCTAAGAAAATAAAAGTTAGCACATAAAAGTAAACAAGCCCTAATAAAAGAGAAGTTTAATAAATGCTTTCATTATTTTTCAAAACCTAAACTATATATACACCCACTGGAAGGCAGATAGAAGACACTGTATTTCATCTGACTAAATACTCTTAAGCCTGAGAACTGATTTTTGCTTTGAGGAAGAATATATGCATTCAGAAGTTTATTATTCTTTAAGTGAATTCAAAAGCTATTTCAAGATCTTTTCCTTGTAAATATTGCTTGAAGTTCTTCAGCCAGAAACTTTAAAGATCAGCATTTTTATATAAATAATATTCTATCTAAGCGGGTTTGAAAAATGGTACACAGCCAACTCCTGCTGATGGCTGAGAAGCCAAGATGCTGATTTATTAAATATTTAAATACCAATATCAAACTGCTCAGTCCACGGCAGTGATCACTCATTTTGAAAGCTGATATAATATTCTGAACTTGACTCAGTTCTGACTCTTGGGCAATTTATTTATAATCACATTTGCTGAATGGGGTTTTTTGGCTTTTTTAAGTCACCACAAGGCAAAGTATCATGCTGAGTTTCATTTATTATTTTAGGAAACTATTTAAAAGCCATACTCAATAGCATTTTATCTTATTGTAGCAAACATGAAGAGTCTTCACTATTTATAGTGATAAAAATAACAGCAGCAGAAGCTCAATTTATTTTGACTCTTTCAAAATAGTTTCACAGAAAATCTAAAAACCCAGTGTTCTAAAACCAACAATGCACTTCAGACTTTTGTTTTGATATCATTTGGAAGAAGATTAATTATCATTAAAATTATTTATTATGTATACAAAACCATGGGTGCAATAGTTTCTACAAATCTGGTAAAAGAAAAAAACTTCTTGTGTCTCACTCTTCTTTTTTGCAGTTAGTTCTCAGGGATTATTTACATACTTAAATACTTACTTTGAGTCAGAGGCCCCAGTACTACTAAAATTTCACCCAAATCTTCAATGGTAGCTAAGAAAATAATTCTAGTTTTATAGAAATACAATGTGTGAGTTAGAATTTAAAAAAAATTATTACAAATAGTGCATGTAGCTGAATCTGGTCATTAATGATAAATATTACAGAAAATTACTGTGGATTGATTAAATATCCTTGGAGCATAAAGCATACATGTGTTCATTTTTAGAAATGTTGGTACTGTTCCATCCCCCTTTTTCATCTATAAAATCTGACCATCCTACTCAGTTTCTATTCTTACCACTCACTAATTTGCATAATTTTAACATGGTGGAATATAGCTAGCCTAGGAATACTTTTTTCTTTTCCTATAATTACACTCATCATGGAAACTGTCACTATTTAATGAAGGATAATTTCTGCTATTATAAGAAGCCTAAGCGATGGTTTTCGTGAATAATTCTTAATATGAATCACTACACTCGGCACAGTCGGAAGTAAAAACATGTGTTCTCACTAACAAATATCCTTTTAAGGATGAATGAAGTTTTTCAACTCCAGATAAGTATAGTGACTAGCCCTTAAGAGCAGTGCTATTCATTCATATAGCCACTCACAGGGCCACAATATTCACAATTAAAAAACCATCAGACAGATGGTGCCAATTTCTGAAAAGCCATCTCGTCCCTCAAAACACCTTCTTGTAGTCAGTGGAAATACAGGTCCCACCAGGAGAGGATTCAGAATCAAAGCTCCAATTCATCTGGTCGTGGACACTTCTGTCACAGAGCCCAAGAAAAACAGGTAAGCCTGCTGCTAACTCATTATCTTCCAGATATAAAACCTGCTCATTACTACTCAATACAGAGTCTATTTCAAACACACTGATCTCCAAAGTAAGAGTATAACCTAGAGATACTAAATTTTCTCTCCTCAAAATAATTATTTTTATGTTCCAATAGCACAGTAATTCACAGATTATTGTTTATATGACAGCTTTTTCTAGGAAGTTTCTTATTGAAAAAAGTAAGGCCACCTCATCTACCAGGAAATGCTCTGCAAAAATAAGTACAAAAATCTACATCGGTAATTTTCCTCAAAAGGAAAATACATCAAGTATGTTATTTTCACTACTGGGAGATATTACTCTAGGATAGTTTGAAGAAATAAACAGGGCTTATAATCATCTCTTGCTATCCCCAGTTTCATGTAAATGATTTCATTTGTTTTGGTGAAGACTCAGCAAGGAAAGCAGAGACTTCTTCATTGTTTCTGCTCAGCAGTAATTTGATAGTATTCCATCACATAACATTCCTTTGTTTGCCATCAATCTGCATTACAAAACTCCTCACACAACAGCAAATAGCCCAGTCAGAGATGAATCAGGGACAGTTCTCTCAGAAACAGAACTCTTGTCTTTCCAGATGCTGATATTTTCCCCCAGGGGGAGAGCTCAGGTCACACTGGGCAGCACGTGGAAGCACAAACCCTGTCCCCAGTCACACTAGGATTGTGTGGTGTGGCTGAAGAGTTGGTTAAAGACCAGGGCTTGCACAGGACTGGGTGGTTTGTTGTCTAATAAGATTCATTCCAGGATCAATCAGGGGAAAAAAAGAAGCTTCTTGTAATCAGAGTCAGGTCTAAGCACTGGGAACTGTTTCAGTCGTTTCTCTACAAGTCCAGGAGTCACTTCCATCATTTGGTTCCTATCCCTATGCCTCCAATATACTCTCTCTCAATGGCAGCATCCACAAAACCAAACCCCGTGCATGGATTTTTTTCCCCCTTCATGTTATCCTTACCTTCCACTGTTTGACCTTCTCGTCTGAGCATCTGGACAGCTCCTACATACTTCTTAAGTTGCACTTTTAGCACCTCATTTTCTCTATTGATAAAAAGAACAGAATAAATATTATTGGTTTCTCAAAATAGATGAAAGCCCTTTTCAGTGGAAACAAACACACTATCTGTTATAAGCTTTACCTAAGTTGTGTCACCCCAGTGAGGGGGGGGAAGATTTACACATTAATAATACATTTACAGCAGAGTATCAGGAAAACTAGTTTTCCAGGATCACATAAACACATCAGTGAAACAGATTATCTTGTAATCAGAAACTTTCATTAACTGTTTAATCTAGATTTTCTATATTATGCTATATTGATGGCAAACAAATGATATACTCTCTCTAAATCAACAATCAATTAAAACATAAGGATGGGATACTAGACAAGGACATTTGTTGCCAGGTGTGATGGAACCCTGGGCATGTAACAGATCACAGAAAGCTGGAAACAGATGAAACACAAAGGCAGACATTTTATTTATGGGAATTTATTTGAGAATTAGAAGTATTCAGAAACACGTGCAAATATGTTTGATGGTCCTTATGATATTATATACACATACACACACAAAATATACATATATTATGTATATGTACACACACACAAATAAACTGCTGTTGTGAGCAATGCCACATTACTCATATAAGAAGCCTTGACTGGTACTATATTCATATTTCTATGGATTTCAAATCAGCTTTCTGAACTATGCAACCCCAATTTTATTCAGTGTTAATCAACAGAAGTGGAACTATACACAATATAATGAGTTTATATTATAAAACCAATCTCCACTTCTTCCTGCTCCCTCCCAGAAGAAGCTCCTTCATCCCTTACTAAATATGATTAAATTGATTATCTTGTATCTCACTCTTTTTATAAAATGTTTTTGTCACTTGTGACATATCACCAACTAACTAAGCAGGAAGAAAAAGTCATTTATTATAGGAATATTCAAATTAGTTTTCACAAGCACAAACAAGAGATATTTTTTCCTCTCTCTAAGAAGCTGCTTAGGGGAAGTGATGGAATCATTTCAAGATGTACAACACACCATTTCACCCATCACTGAAGGGCTGTGGCTGTGAATGAAGTGTTGTAAAACAGAGTAATATAAAATGCCAAATCCAAATGCAATGTGGCTTAAGTAATATAGACAGTAGATAAGAGGAGGCAAATTAGGTGACAGAATCTACAGTAAACAGAAGGTGCATAGAAGACAAAGTATAGCCAAAATTCTCATCCCCCATTTCCCTCCACGGTGCATTTTCATCTTCTCTATCTGCTTTTCTTGCTACAAAGCCTGTCCTTTGTATTATGCTTTCCTCCAACACTGCTGAATATAGTCTAAGGATATGCAATCTGAGATTATCCAATTTCACAGTCAACTTCAATAAATTTCTTTGCCTTGCAAAGGGATGTAATAGCATTCCATACAGAAAAAGGAATCTCAATTAAAAATCTTTAGTATTGCCAAGAAGCCACTGGCACAATATGTCCATGAATTTGAGAAAGGTTCTTTGATAAGGACAAAAAAAACCAACAAAGAACCAGCTGACAACATAATACTACAGAGTCTATTGAGTCTATTCTATCAGAAGACTGGGAAATAGGTTGAACACTGAGACTGCTCCTTTTGAAACAATATAATAACTGTTATGAAAGAGCTATTCAAATTTTTCACACGGAAGAATGAGATTATCACTACTTGAAACTGAAATTACCTAAGATTTTTTCTATTTTTCAAAGAGAACTTTGTAAACTTGGTAAAAATTTCTCTCAGTAAGCCAGCATTTTGTCTAGGAGAGCAGAGACTCTCTGGAGAGTCCAGGAGACCAGCTGAGTAACTGCAGATATCCAGAAGCCATCATTTCAGCACTGACTGATGTGTCACTGAAATTTGTGTTCTCAAAGCCTCCAGGAAGGCATTTATGTCAAATTCTTCAAAAGAGCTTTGGGGACACACATAAATATCAGATCTCATAATGTGAAAAATATTCATTCATCAAATGACAACAGTCAGATTCTTACTGAATGATTTCCCTTGCCTTAAAATATTCAGAATTTTATAAGTGAGGAAAATTTTCTACTCTGGTCACATGATCAATTGTTCTCAACATAAACAGTGAGGTTTCTCTACTTCAAAACATCTAAAACTTAGTTTCCTCTTATTCACCTACTGGATTATGCACTCACAGAGCAATTGCAAACTTTTTGTTACTTCAACTTCTTTTGATTATTCATCTTGCCCAACTCCTTGGTTTAAAATATTATTTATTAAAAAAATTTACTACCCTTACTATTGCAGCAGCATCACCTACAGTGTACAAAGTGAACTGATAAAAAAAATTAGAAGGAAAACCTATATTCCAAAATAACTATATGCAATGTTAGTAGGCTAGAAAATGAGTTGCAATGAATCATTAAAGAAATGCATCCCAAGTCCATAGTAACTGGTGACACAAGAATTTGTTGTACCTAAGCAGCTCCCAACACTGTTTTTATCACACAACAAGGCAAACTGACTGTCAGAAGAGCAATCAACACAACATACCCAGTCTCGGTAACAATAACAGAAATTACATAAACTTGTTTAAAAATAACTAGTTAGTCTAAGTGAGCATCTCTTCAGATCTTGTTATAAAAGCTCCTTATCTTTTCTTTAAAAAGGTATGTGCATGACAAATATCTGATTCACCCATATGTCACTGCAAATTCTAAAACTGTGGGGGAAGTGAGTCAAAGAAACACGAATACACAGTTCCTAGAACCTGAAATGTGAATATTAAATACTGAAGTATTTGCATTGTCTCTATTGCCTTACAGCACATGAATGTCAAACCCACTTACCCATATCTCTCCCTACCTCAAGTGAGTAGTTTGGTTTGATGTGTCACCAAAAGCAGAATTAGTAGTGTTCTAAATATTTTTTTTTCCTTAAGAAAGCTTTATATTTATCATTTTCAATAAAAAGCTTACAGGAATTTCAGCTGTGGCACTTCAGTGACACTGAGCACTCAGCCTGTGCATGCAGAAAACAAAGCCTTCTCTCTGAGATAAGGTCCAGATTACTATTCCTATTTAACTCTTGGGATGGGTTTGTTGTTTACTATATATGTGAATCATCCCCAAGAACTTACACATCATAGTTTACTCTAGAGATTATTTAGAATTGTAAGAAAAATCAAACTATTACAGCAGCATTTACCTTCGAAAGTCTTTCTTAAGCTAAATCACATTTAGATGAGGGGAGGGTTACAATTCTTTCAGTAGAGCTGTGGCATAAAGTCAAGCTGAAGGCAAATCACTACTGGGGCCAATGTTGTTTAACACCCTCATTAATGACCTGGGTGCTGGGCCAGGGTGCAACATCAGCAAGGTCACGGCCAACACAAAACTGGGCAGCAGCTGATACACAGGGGGGTTGTGCTGCCGTTCAGAGGGACTGGGACAGGCTGGAGAATTGGACTCAGAAAAATTCCATGAAGTTCAACAAGGGGAAACGTGGAGTCCTGCATTTGGGGAGGAATAGCCTGAGGCACCTATTCATGCTGAGGGGCTGGAAAACAGCTCCATGGAGAAGGATCTGGGAGTCCTGGTGGAAAAGCAGCTGACCACAAGTCAGTAACACACCCTTCATGGCAAAGAAAGGCAACAGCAAAACTGCTGAAAACACTGCCCACAGGGGCTGGGGGATGTTCAAAACCTGACTGGGAATGGTCCTGAGCAACCTGTTGCAGCTGATCTTCCTGGAGCTAGGGGAAAACAGCTGCACCACTTCAGAAATTGGTACTTGTTTGTTAATAATGTTTGGCAACAACTGTTGCTCGTGATGCTCAGCCATGAAAACCTGCCAAGAGGACAAGAAAGCATCAGCTCATGGAAAATGAAGTCATGCTTAAGTAATCCAATAGGAGAAAGACAGATCAGATGGAAGTGCCACTGAAGGGATGGATAATCCATTCTTTACTGCTTACACACCTGAGGGCACATACAGAAGGGTATCTGTGTCAGCACTGACATATGTTATATAACTAAAAGCAATAAATAAAGACACAAATATTCCTACTAATTTCAACTGACACTAGGACCACTCAGCACTTACTGAGTTGCTACTCACTGGAGTAAGAACTTGCTGGGAGCAGAGGGGTCCCCAAACTAATCTCAGTGTGGTACTACATAAACCACCTACCAAAGAAAACACTGTGGAGCAATATTAAAATGAAACAGCTTCCAAAACAAGTCCACACTGGCTCCAGATCTGACAGCTAGAATCCCAACAATCCGGCTTGTGTATTTTGGGGGAAGAAAAAAAAAATCATTTTTCTTGCATGCAGACTTTTTTATGCCCTTGTTCCACTGCAGTTACTTTTTGAGACCTTTTCAGCCCTTCTTACCGTGCCAAGGCCTGGACTTTGGTGGCATGTCGCTCTTCCTGCTCTGCTACTTTCCTTCTCCAGTTGTCCATCTCCTGCCTCAGTGCTGCTGAGAGCTCCATCTCTGCATCCAGCAGATTTCGCAGGGATCTGGAAGAAGGCAACAGCCTCTGGTTTGAACCCTGCAAACACTATTTAGTAGTTAGAGTATATTCTAGGAATCACAGAGTAGGTTGCCTGAATGACACCATTAATGCAATCCTAAAATTTCATTATTCGATGGAATAAATTCACGTGATTTGATTATACAAAGACATGAAAAGCTACAAGGAAATAGACCCAATCTGAGCAGTTGTAAATGCTTACTATTAATTTCTATTACAATCTCATCAACATGCCCAAAGCACAATCTATTATGGGATCTACTGCACCACCACACAGAAAGAATTTACTATTTAAAAAAGTTTATAATGTGTTTTCACTGCTTCAGTGCAAGTCCATATATCTCAGGAATAATCTATAAGCAATATATTTACTAGCAAGGGCAGGAGACAGACATGTCTCTGCTACAGATCTCTGTGTAAAGCCTTTGATGAGATAGCAAAGGTCAGCATGATGTATAATGGAAAAACCCAAAGCATTCTGCCAAAAAACACAAAGCTGAACGGGGCAATAACTTGCAATTATGGGAGTAGGAAGAACAGGAGGCAGGAAAATAGAATCAGTTGGTAGTCACAGCATTAGAAGTCCCAAAACATCTATAGGAAAATGTAAATTACCAAACATCGAATACATTTGTACTTTCATTCATCTAAACATGTGTCTAAATAAACTAAATAAATACAAAGTAGGTTTGATGGCATTTTAAATAAGAGACTGATCATTTTTACATTTACCTCATCATTTTGCCCCAAGTGAACATAAAGACCCTCACAAACGAAAGCCACTTTCAGCATTACACTGTCAGCCATCCTACATCAGTTCTAAACCAGAAGGGGGAAAAAAGACATTTTCGGAATATTTGTAAAAGGACAAACTTCTGCTCATTTGGAAAGTTGTCTTAAGAAATCTTCAGAATTTTTTGGTTGTAAGTTTTGGTTTTGAAAAAACTGCAACTGCAAAAGCTGCCAAAATACAAAGATTTATCTGTGATTAAACTAAACTAACTCAAAGGAAGAAGCTGACCTGAAAACATTACTTTCAGTATCGACATTTAAATAGTGAAGTATTAAGTTTACCTTTCGCAGAAAAATAACACATACATCAAAAAGATTACACAAAAATTATGTATAGCTTCACATAAAGGACAGCTTGTATTAAAGAACAGATTTATTTTTTTTAATTACAGTCCCTCTTGACTTAAAAAAGAAAACTACCTATTCTGCTCTTCCAGTTCATCCTTCCTATTCATCATGGCCACGATAGCTTGACGAAGTTCATCTAAAGAGAAGGGAGAAAAAAGATTCAATGTCTGTGTGCACTTTGCTCAGTTCAGATCTAGAAGTCATGTACACAGGCAACACACTCCAAATGATGCCAACACCATTTGCTATTCAGCAAAGCACATAAAAATGCTCTCAATCTCATCACTAATTTGAGCAATCTTTCAAAACCGGGGTAATTTAACACCGTATCAGAAGAATTGATCAAACCAAATGAGTCTGCATCTGGCTTTAATACCAATGTTTACAAGTGTGCCCTGGGTGCAGCTGGTTTGTTTTAATCACAGCTGTATTGCAGAATGCACCTTTTCACTCTGTGCATATTAATGACATACACTGGTACTCGTTCAGCTCCTTCAAATTGCTTCTTTTCCTTCCTACAAATTCTGGCACAGGAAATATCACCATTACAGGGAGGTGGGAATAGAGAGAATGTCACTGCTTCTTCATGGCATTTCTTCTCAAGCTCAAGGATTTCTGAATCTTGTCATTTCCTATAAAAAACTTTCTATTTTTTAAAAATACCTTAAAAATACTTTCTGTCATTAAATCAAGAATAAAAATTTTAAAAAACCCAACTGACAGAATTTTAGAATTTTTAAAGATTTCTTTAGGTTTTAACATGATACCAGAAAAGCCAAATACCATACAGAAAAGTGTCAGCTCAAAGCACTGCCTCACCTGGAGTCCTTCTGCTGAGGTTTTAGTAAAGGTTTTACCATGTAACTGTACAGATGCACCACGACTACTTACTATAAATTTAGAGAAAAATATTAGGACCTTATCATCTAATCTAAAATTATAGATTTTGACTTCCAGATCTTGCATGAATATATGAAACAAAAGAGGTCTTCAGAGATTTCCGTGGCTTCTAGCAATCATCAGGACGGATACATATCATCCTAAACCAGATTTTTTTTTAACAATTGCACTAACAATTTCACATATATTAATCAACAATTTTATGAGTGCTGCAAGGACACAATTATATTAAAACATCCCTCCCAAGAGCTAAATGAAATGCTCTCATGTTTATATATAATAAATCAACCAGCTCTGTTTTGCAAGTATTCAACAAATTTGTCAATAAATTTTGTGTGCTTTTACTGAAAACATACCAACAGAACTGGTACTACTTGTTTTCTTCCAGCAAGCAAAGCCAGTGGAGAACTTTTTGCCCTTTACATTCAGTTCACTAATTTACCCATATCTTTCTTAGTATTTTCTACAGTTACAGAAATTTTTGCCCATTCAAGAAAAACTTAACATTGTCCTGTGGACCAGATGAAATCTGCTAAATTTAGGAGCAGCCAAAACATGAAGGATTCATGTCAATCCAATGTATCAGTCAGTGCTGCAGACACCACAGTTCCAGGCTGGCATTGGTAACCTCCAGGTTAATCCCAGGATTCAGCAGGGTTCTCCTATCATCTGAAATCAGCCAACCCAAATTTCTCCATGCTAGACTTTTTCCAAAACATTTCTGCTTCTTTGGCCATGAAGAAAGTAGATGATTATTTTGCTACTCATTTCATATTATCCATATTACAGCTTAAGAACTAATTGACATTAGCAAGAAACATTTCAGTAGGTCATTAGGGGGATTTTGCAGTTCATTAATTCAGCATAGAAAGAATAATAGAAAGAATAATTATTTTTCTACAGAAAAAAAAAAAGAAAACAAATCCAAATCTTGCAGAAAAGCCAAAAGTGTAATTTGTGGATATTAAATACAAGCATACATTAAAAAAAATCTGGAAACTTTTGCTTTCTCATATTCAAAACCAAAGCTGCAATTACATGGGCACTTTAACCAGTCCTCCTAAGGCTGTGTTTTCAGCAAAAAGGACATTCCAGTTGCCTTTTCCATCATTGCCACCACCTCCCTTGTTGTGGCACTGGTGTTTCTACACACACTGTCCTGGCAGGACCTGACCCAGCTCAAAATTGGGGATGTATTTCTTTTTCTTTTCACACAAGCAGTGGCCAAGTGACCTTACTGTTGAGTTTAAGCTGTTGCTGGCACAAGGCACACAGCAGAATCAGCAAAGGCAGAACACCTTTCTAGTTAATGATAACAAGGAGTAAAAGGTGGAATATCCTTTCTGGCAAGAGTAAAGTTCACATGGCAACGAAGTGTCCAGGTAACCACTGTAATTTACACAGGAACTGTAGAAAAACTTAGAATTGAAAGATTATATATGACAAAATACGCTGTGCTCCTTTATTTATATCACTATTTTTCAAAAGATGGTCTGTAATAGCTTTGATTGACTACCACTAATTTGGGGGTGGTTGGGAGGGGTGAGGTGGGGGAACAAAATAAAAAAAAAAACACCAAACCCTACACTCTGAGATTTAACTATTGTATTTAGCTACAAAATATCAAATTTGGTGATAATGAAACTCAATACACTATTAGTATTATTTTAGTCATGATGAGACACTGCCACTTTGAGGGCAGACTGGAAAGGTTGGGGATTTTGAGAGGTTTTTGTTTGGGGTTTTTTGGTGGGAATTTTTGGCAGTGGACAATTGGTGGGTTGTAACAGTCCTGAAAATGTAATATGCAATGTTGCCAAAATGTCAAAATGGACCACAATCCATCAGCCTATCTGTGAGACAAACAACTGCTCTAAGGATGAGGAAAACAGAACAATCCAGGAAGTGTTATATAAATGTATAACACAAGCAAAAGGATCCACTGAGACCTTTTAGTACAGTAACACTCTGTAACAAAATAAAGATCCTGAACTACAAGGTTGAATTCAGAATCCTCCTCAAGAAAGCATCACGCCAATGGTATTTTAAATATTTCAAATGTGTCATTAAAACATGATAATGCACAATCAACAGTTAGTTGCTATTATGTCTCTAACTGAATAAATTAAAGCTGTTGCTACTCAGACAAGTTATTGCAGTGCTGGTTCTGCACTTACTCTGGGGTGCCTACTCTGCAATAATTGCCTGTGTGCATACTCAGGGGTTTAATGCGTACTCATTTATTAACATTTAAACTGTGAAGCTATTATAAATTGTCTCCATTTTGTCATTTTTACCAGCCTATTTAAACTGTAACCTTAACTTGCCTAATAACTTAATCTTCTTTTCCTTATTCCATCCAGAATCTTCCGCATGAGCGGAGACCTGAAATCCCACCTTCTCACAGTCCCCTCTCCCACACACACAAAAGCAGAGCACAAAAGCAAGATTCTGTTACAGGCCATGGTTTGCAAAAAAAGAAGAAAAAAGATTCTTGAAATAGAAGATGTTAAAATACTTTTCTATTTCCATTTGCCTCATTTTTCTGAGAGTTATGGAATTGACAACACTATAGAGACACAACCAAGCAGAAACTCCAAATTTCATTATCACATACAGGAAAAAAATCAATGCTTAATCTAGGATCACAAAAGAAAACACACCTCACACTCACTATTCCTTGCTAATTTAGTTCAATTACAGATACCAGTGGAGATGTGGAGGAAAGCTCACCACAAACCACTGGTCTGGCTAAGAAACCAGAGTTCCCAGGAGGCTGGTACAGCCTGTGCCTACCCAAGCAGCAGGGTTATACTTATGTTGTTTCTTCTTGAAGTGATGAGTATTAAGGAGTCATATTCTCTGTAATTTCTCAAAACAAACACAAGAACTATACAATTTATCATCAACACTTCTTTAGCCTCTCCATCCACAATAAATACAAAAGAGCAAAACAGTATTGGTGTAATTAAATAAGTAAAAAGTAACCAAGAAAAAGCCAGAAATTTTAATTTCATGATCTTTTGATGCAAGGAACTGAATAGAACTAAAAGGGCACCATCCTATTTAATTCAGGTATAACATTTAAAACTTTCAAAAAATTGCAATTTATGACTTTCACTTATGCTTCTGGAAAGATTTCAGCAGCATGTCAGACCAGTCAGCTGAATGCAAACAAAGTAAATCCAGTATCATACACCGAGGCAGGTTCACTTCAAACCTGCCAGAGCACCCACAGTTCATAAGCTTTTGCCTGTTATGCTTGCCTCCAAGATGAGTGTATGATCATAACCTAATTTTTCCAGCAGACTTATGTCTCATACACTGTGTGGGTTAGAAAAGGGAATAAATTTAAAAAAAAAAAAAAAAAGTCAGGGTTGTAGCAGTAACCATAAATTTGGCGTTTTCTGACTTCTGGACTTCACAACTTCAATCTTTCTCCCCCCTCTTCTATTTTTTTTTTTTTAATAAAACAGTAGGAGGACAGCCAAGTATTCTTCCTTCATGAAAGTGTTTGATGTTAGACTTTATGTCCTACTTCGGAATTGCCTTGTGCTTGACATGACATTTATGTTCTCTAAAGTACCTTTAACAAAAAGTGATACACTACTGCTATTAAGGATCAGCCTTCAACACTAAGATATCTAAAAATGAAGTGATAATCAGAGTTCTGTAAAGACAGATATAAGAAAACCAGTGAAGACTTTCATATTATGTAACCTTAGGGGATATTTTTGCAACAACTTCTTGAAAAAAGGATTCCCATGTGCAAACCAGTAATTCCAAACTATGTCTTTCTTTATAAGGTCACCTTCAGAGCATGAAATACATTATGCTTTAAGAAACACCTGTCAATTTTCCAGCAACCTCCAGAAAAGTCATAAGTTTCACAACTTATGTTGTTTAGCCCAAAAGTGGATAAGTATGTTTTGCAATCACCTGTTATGAAGAATGAGCTGTAAGTGAAATCATCTCTCAGAGAACACAAGGTCATGCAGAACTCCTCTGCAATCCTGCACACAAACTATCAGGGTGGGCTGGGAGCAGTCTCCAGGAATGATTTATTTTTTTTTTTTTATTTTCCTGAGTGCAAATTTACACAGATATTTTCAGAGACAAACAAAACTTCCAGCAGACTAGTTACATCCTAAATCAGAAGTCTGACCTTTAAAGACATGAAGAGCTTTATGCTCCCTAAGCTGCCTGCATGAACACTGGCTGTTAAGACTTTATTTAGTGCTCAAGAATCCCGTAAATATTATCCTGTCATGTCACTATTCATAGGGCAAATATTAGTAAGAAACAAATTAGACAATCCAGTGCTGGCCTTCTACTGCATAGAAGGGTCCTGATCAAAAATAAGTCTAAGATGAACTGTAGTTTTGCCCTCACCAATGAAATACAAACACCCTCTTTCCACAGCTGTGCTTTCAAAGAAGTCACGAGAATTTAGTACCTGTCAGTGACCAGGGGCAACCAGGTGACAGACCAGGTCAGAAGCTGTTTAGAGGACACAGAAAGTACAAACACATGCACCCTATTGACTTACACAACCAGGATAAAAATATACTACGTAGGTGTGGTTATTCAGTAAAGTTCTTTGGTGATTGTGAAAAAACGGGGGCTTTCTCAAGAATACATGAAAAAATATGGAATGACGTACAAAGCTCCAACCTTTGCTAACCTTTGTGGTCAATACCAATTTAAAAAACTGAAGAGAATGAGAGCGGAAAAACTAAATTACCAATTATTTACTAAAAATAGCACTATAATAAAAGAACCCTGTAAAGAAGGACCCAAGCAGCATCCTCCTCAAATGAAAGTTTTGGAACTTCTTTTTTTTCCACTGCAAAAACAGAACGAGGAGACTTGTGCTGGTAGGACAGATTGTTTTCCACCAAAACAATGCTGAAAATATAATCTTTCAATGGCAACACTTTGGAACAGACAGAGACGTTTGTGATCCAAATATGATAAATATAATTTTTTAAAAAATTGGAAATGTACATAATAGATACATATATATAAAACTTCTTGAAAACTTAATTCTTAATAAAATTGGTTCTAAGACCTAATGATCTGTAAAGTAGGGCAAGCTTTCAAAAGATGTCTAAAATACACAGCAAAAGTAACTCTATGGATTTTGATTTCTCTTAAGTGGTATTAGTATTTTTTGAGCTGTATCTGCTGCTGAGCTAACCTATACCTTACAAATGCAAATTCAGGAAAATAATTCAAAATAGCAGAAATTTTAAATTACAGCTTCTCACAATATAATTTTCTAGCCTGCATATCAAAAGAAGTAAGAAAAGGTTAGTACTATACTAGTAAGTCGGGAAGGAAGCAGGAAAAGAATAAAATTTTTAAAAAATTAATTTCAGGCTTTGTCTCCAGAAGTATGAAGCACAAAAATCCAGTCACTGGAGACCTCACAGCTTTTCTCACTGCACTACTGCATTCCATTTTTCTTGCCTGATGTGTTAGAATCAGTTGCTATGCAACCAAGCTATAAGCCTCACCATTTAATAATTCTTCTGCTAATTGCAATAGAGAAAAAGAGCTTCAGTGTCTGACTCTGTCATAGCACTGACTTCTTCCTGTACAAAGAATCTACGACCAATAACAACAAACTTGAAAAAAGCATTTTTATTGAGTGTATCTGGGATCAGCTATTATACAGGTATTGACTAATACTATTAATGCATATTCATCTGAATTTTGATTATAATTATGATTATTTACTAAGTGTCCCACTAGCTTTGTAGGTGGTTTTGAAATGCTTCCCTCCCCCAGTTCCTTCCCCCAAAGCCTTCTCTGAAATGGGAAACTAATGACAGCGTGCATGCTTCTGTTGATCCCGTGTTTCCATTTCATTTACAAATTGCCAAGTACCAAGAACTGAAAATCTGAAGATTTTCTTTCTATTTTATAGCTGTCTTACCTACACCTCGGAACTAACTGAGCAACTGAAGGAGACCAATTGCGGCCCCTGCTGGTACCTGACACCTACAAAACAACAGAATCAAGAGAGGGCAGCAACACCAGAAGCATTCCTATTGAAACGCTGTAACCCAAAAAATAAAATAAAAATGTAAGAACAAAAGGATATCGTAGTAATAACATCAGCAGAGAACATCTAATGACCAGGTAGCACGGTAACTAGCAACAGGAACTCCATCTACACCTTCAGTTACGTCTCAAACTGGTTTCCCACTTCGTGAAGGACTTTGCAAGAAAGGATTTTTCAGCTTTGTAAAGCTCAGCCAGCAGACCAATGCCAGAGCCTGGAACCTTGGCCAGTGAAAATGCATGGTCTACCTCCTTTACCACAGGTTGACACAGACAGCACTTGAACATGACTTCAAAAAATGAGATTAGAATATTTTAAGGGTTCACCCATTTTGTTGGTTTCATGATTCGGTTTCAGTAAAGAATCTTGGCTGCATCACTTCTAACTTCCCAAATGTCATAATTTAAAACTTGTACACATTTAAATTTAAAAGAAGAAACAAACACGCACCCAAGAGCTTTAGGAACAAAGCCAGTTCAGTTACAGAACATTCTGTACTGTGAGGAACATCAACACATACTGGCTCACGTGTTTGGACAGTCAGTTTAGGAACTAAGTCTTTGTTCTACAAGAAAATAGATTAAAGATGGGGTAAACAATCTGCCTGTGCTTCTATTAATCTACTTCTACAGCAAAGGCTACTTTATCCTGTCTAGTTCTACTCTGAATACTACTGAAAATTTGACTGTTCTCCACCTTCATCTTAACTAAAGCTTTTGCATATGAAAGCCCATGTTTATGTTTGGAACAGATTTTCATATCAAAATCACAGACTGAGTGTACATAGAAAGAATTCTGTGTTTGGTTTTTTCTGACTAAGCATAAATGAAAGCAGGAAAAATAATTTTCAGAGCTTGCAGACATTTAAAGATGTTAATCAAATTAAATCATTGTTTTTCATTTAACTAGTGAGGCCACATCTACTACAAGGATATAGCAGTTGCAATGAACCCTAACCTGGGATCTGCCAATACAAACATCATTTTAGAGCAGTTCTTTCTAATGTGGCCAGCACATCAGAAGTGAAGTGCTCTATGCCTCTCTAAACAGATCCTACTGAAATAAAAATAGAAAGAACTATAGGTCTTTCAAAGTTATTTCCATCAATCTAGATACATCAAGGAAGTACTTACTAATTGTCATGGATTCTGGCACGGTGGCTGAAGGCAACATACTGCTTAAAGTATTCACTTGTGCTGGAGGACTGACTTCCACTCTAGTCATAAAAGTACAGAATAATCAATAAATGGAAACAAAATCCTAAATTCAAATCTTAAGAAAAAAACCATTCCAGAAACTAGAACTGTCATGCTATTCACCCATATTTAATAACTTAGGTTTAACTATCCTTTAATGCATCTCCTGGGAGCCTGATTTAAGAATACACACAAAAAACCTCCAAATTAGCAGGTCATGGAGAATATAGTAAAAGAAAAAATAACATAAAACCCAAAATAAAACTTATTTTCAAAACCAGGAGGCCAAGTCTGTCTGTTATTTGACACGACGATGTGAATTCTTCCAGATAATTAGGAGAAGGTCAGTATATGAAATAAGGCAAAAAGGGAAGGGCAGGTTTTTTGCATTTGTCTTTCCAAACATTTGCACAAGGACCCAGATGGGTAGTTGGTTTTCCAGAGCTGATTGCATTAGGTAACAATAATAAGTTGCCAACTACAGGGTGAAGTTTTTTTTTAAGAAAAACATATTTGACACATACCTGTAAGGGAGATCAGATCTTCTGGGAACCAGTTCTACCGGATGAACAACATGTTCATGCCCCTCTCCGTTCTCCAAGTTATCTAAAGTAGAATGCACAAGCATTAGCTCTCTTCAGTTTACAGTACTTTAAAAAAATAAAACATAAACAAATCCAGAAGGAAGGTAGTTACATTTTTAAATAGAAATACTCATCTTTACTAAAGATTGAAACACTTTAAATTCTTTCTCCAAAGCTGGATTCTGCACATTCACCCCGAATGCCAGCAGGATTGTAAAGTCCCTTAGGAACACAGCCATCATCAAAAAAAATCAGTATTGCACAATTCCTACATTTTATATGTACATTTTACACTAACAGTGTTGCAAAGCTATGAAGAGACTTCTTACTGATGTTATTTTTGCAAGCCCCAGGACTTCAACCTCCACATGCATCTGCTACTCATTACAAATCTGTTTGTGACTTGCAGAAGAATTTGTGGTTAGTCCCCAGCACATGAAACCTTGCAAAGACACCAGTCCTTTATGTATTCCCAACAGAGCACCATGGCTTTTCTCTGGCTCCTTATGTCTATGTAGTAAACACCAGGAATCAGACAGATGAGACATTGTCTAAAAAGCATGAATAATACGCATCTGTCCACAGATCCACAACTGTCGGGATCCAAATATACACATCACTGGGCCTGTCATTAAGGAAGTTCATGTGGAAAGAAACAAAAATCATATTTTATTGATGTTTTCTGCATCTCACTATGTAAGGGTTACAAAGTTACTATAAGACAGTCCTAAAATCATCAATTAAATATCACAGATTTAAAAAGCAGGAATACTAGGGAAAAAGTTAATAGGAATTAGTTATGTCAGAAAGACTATGGAGGAGAAAATAAATTTTTTAAGTTGTAGAGTTTACTCAAGCTCATTTCCTAAAATGCATACTCCATTTTTGTTCCAAGCAACTGAATTTTGACTGAGGCGTTCTCATTCCTAGTTACATGGAGATATAATATGCCCTGACACATCCCTGAAGCACTGCAACAGACTAAAGCTGAAAACACAGATATTAACATACAACAGTACAGATTAAGCAGGGCCTGGATTGCTGTTTCCTACAAGTGATGAAGATCTCTTTCATCAGCCCAGTGTTGGATCACTCCAGTTTGCAGGATGGAGTGATAACCACAGGGGTTATCACAAAGAAAGACAGGAGAATTGAAAATGTCTGTGTACTGTGCCAGAAGGGATCTGTTGATCATCTCTAGTAGTCTGAGCATTGTATCCAAAACAGTTCTGAGATGAAGCGAGACCAAACAAGGATCTCTGGTATCTTCTCAATAAAAGTAAGCCCCTGTTACAGTTATTGTCCTCTTTGGTCATTTGTCTCCATCTTGGCTGAGACTCCTGCCTTTTGATTTCAGCTACAAACTCCAGCTCACAGTCCTGGTGCCTCGTGACATCTACAACTCCCACAACAAACTGTGAGTTCCCATTCCACACACCACCACCCTCCATAAACAGGGACAATTGTATCCCTGATTTCAACCTGTGGATGTTCTCCAGCAGTTTCTGTATAAAACTTAAAAGAACATGATGCCACAAACTATGTGATGTTTTCTAAATCCGTTCCTTCATAAACTGAGAAATGTGGCAGCACAAATAAAAAATGAAAATGTACTTACTTTCTATTTTTATTTTGAACCACTGCCATTTCTTATAAGGTACACGTTTTAAAATACAGCAGAGGGCAGTACAGCCTTATTTTATGATTCACATTTTAAATCAGTGAACTTACAGAACTGAATTACACTTTTTCACAGGCCTTCAATTAACAATCCATTTAAACTCTTGGCGCACAAAATGTATATCCAAAAAAATTAAATATTTTACAATGAAAACATTATTTAATGTTACTGATTAGTTTTTAAATGGTCACTGAAAAAATGAGTATACCTGAAGTTTTAATCAAATACCATACAAGACCACAGTTTAATCCCAACAAAACTCAGGGTTTTTTTGACATTGACAAATCCTCCTCAACTAAATAACTACTCAAATCAAGAATTCTGATTCAGAACGAGAATGAATGTTAACTCCTTTCTATCCCAGATGTGCAGTATGTTCTATGTCCTTACAATCCTGTTATTTCTTGCCATTGTCCCATGTTAGAAATTCCATTATAAAGGTTGTTGGAATCCTGCAAATTAAATACCCACCTGTTTGGGAGTAAGAGCCAACAGCACTGACAGGGAACAGCACATCTGAGTCATCATTAAGGACCTGCAGAGGAGTCCAACTGCATATCTGAGAGTTGCAAGTGCCTATCTCATAAGTCCTAGATTTAAAACAAACAAACAAACAAAACAATCTTATTATACAGTCAATATCCATGTTCATAATGCATATATTTCTTCCAGAGATACTACTTCAAGAAAAATCTCTCCTTCAATCTGCCTGCCAGTTTCTTGGCCGGCCATACATTAATCCATTAAAGATCAGACAATCCAAAGCAGACGAGACAAACAGTGTTTGCCTTTTTCTCCAAACAATTTTCTTTGTCAGAAAAAAAGAAAGCATATTAGTATTTAAAATTATTCGTTCTCTCTTGGTTTTGCCTTGGTTAACTACATCCTCTTGTTTAACTATCTACTCTGATGTAACAGGCTTATTCTGCTTAAAATACATGTTTTTACTGTGAAGCCAAAATAGAATTGATATCATATGAGAATAAGGAAACATCAAGTAGGCCAGAATTATAGCCAGGCTGTATCATGCAAATATTTAAACAACTGAGAACTTCAAGGAGAATGAGAGAACTAATTCCCAAAATTTTGGTTTTCAGTGGAACTTAGAAGCAAAATATCACCACCACAGTGGCCCAAATGGTTTAAACAATGATCAAGAAAAAACGAGGAAAAACAAAAAAAGGGGGAAAAGGTTGAGGAGCAGGAATGGGGGGGGGGGAGCAGAGAAAACCTATAGTTCAGTTCAACACATCAATTTGCCAGTGCCCAGAATTTGCCAATTTGCCAGTTCCCAGAAAAGGGAAGGGTGGATGGGAAGCACGGACAGTTTCCCACCAGCTCCTGCACCGTTACTTACTTTTCAGAAGCTTCAGGTTCACCTTCTGTGCCTTTATTTCCTAATGTTTTTCCATACAGCTCATCCTCATCTGCATCTTCATCATCAATGCTCTTCACATCCAGTTTCTGGTACTCGTACTCTCCATTCATGAGAGAGTGAGGCAATGAATTGCTCTTCCACGAACTGTTACTTTCATTCCCGTTCAAATTTTTTCCAAGAGTGCTTTCAGATGAGGACAATGCAAGGACTGAGGATCTGTCTGCGCTCTCCTCTGAGCTTTCTCCTGTAATCAGAGTCTTTGTGGAATCCCCCAAATTTTGCTCATCTTCCTCTTCGTCAAATGAGATAATATTGGTCACTCTCTTCTTCTTTTTGCGATCTTTTTTATATCTCAAATCTAGTAACAATACAAAGTTTTACATAGTTTAGAAGAAACAATATAATAAATCTGTTTTTTCCTTATAAGAGCTCATGTACTAAATGACTTTAGTAAAGAAAATGCCACTTAGATCTACAAGGCATTCATTAGCTTTCCATACACACAAGCTTTTAAATCTTTAATTACCATCTTTATTTTATCTGCCTTACATAATTCAGATTTTAGAAAACATTTTGGAGGTGCATTCATAACATTATTCGATTGGAACTGGAAAAAAAAAGTTGAACAAACTCATAGAATGAAATTTAAAATAAAAATTTAGCCTTCCTGTCACTTTCTCCCATGGAATACACCTAATGTATATTCTAGTTTATATAGAAGAGCATGTCTACCCAACAGAGAAAACATGAGACACTTCCAGAGAGAAAAAATTAAGAAGAACAAACTCACAACATGAACAAAATCCACAGCTTGCAATCAAATAAAGGTAGTTTTGTCTATACTCTAAAAATTGAGCAGTCAGTTCCCAGAAAAAGAAACTAAACTTGCTCCTTCCCTCAGGTAATTAGCTCTTGGTCTAGAAATACACTGAAATCCTCAGATTACATCAGATCTATTCAGTGACAGCACCTGTTTTTAAATTATTACCTATTCTCACTAAATCCTATGTGCACATGAAGCTGAAGTTGAAGCACGCTAAGAAATATCAGAAATCTACTCACCAGACAACTCACATTAGGACTAAACTGTTTTGTTTAATTCAAATCCAGCTGTCCTATATCCACAAAACAAACTTTTAAGAGGATGTTAAAACCCATTCTGCTTGCAAACAGAACTCCAACAAAGAACACAGACTAATGAAAACATCTGACTTGCTCTAACATTCCACATTATAATGGCATTTGAAGAGACTCATTTTTTTAAAGTGACATTTTACTGTAAGCTCTACATTTTATGTACTCTGCACATAATGTACATTATGTTGTAGAGTCATATGCAGCATATGGTCAATTATTGTCTTATTTCATCTTGCAAGCCTATTCTATTCTAACGAAGTTATCCCAAGTCAAGTATCACCTACAATTTTAATCTCATTTAAGTGCTAAACAACAAAAGCTTTACCACAAGTTTGCTTCAAAAACCATGTTTTGAAACAAAGTCTATTTTAAATGCCAATAAACACCAGATTTTATCTCAGCTTCTCTTCCTACCAGACAGTTTTCACACGTAGGGTTTTTGCCTTTTTCTCATAACCAAAACAATTTAATGCCTAAATTCAAACCTTGTTTCTTAATTGAAAAGCACATAAATCTTCCTGCAGTTTTGTACCTTTACAAAGCAAAACAATCTTTCAGCTCAATTTCCAGAAACAAAGATAATAAAATACTCCTTTGCAATTTTTGGGACTGAAAATATATAATGAAAATCATATTTTGCTTGATTTTTTTCAAATTATAAGAGATTAAGACTTTGAGTCTTTGTTAGTAACTGACATCCTATAAGCTGGTTGTAATACTAAGACATTTAAAGGTTAAAAAAGCATATGAGCAAATTTCATTTTGGTCCAGGAATTTCATTTTGCATAGGAACTCAGACTGTAAACAGGGGCCCTACTTGAAGAAGATTACAAGCTTAGATTTGTATCTGATATATAATAATGGGTATATAGCAGTGTATTCCTGACTGATAAAAGTGCTAAAAGAAAATAAATTAAAAATGAAAAATCATTACATCATGAACTGCAAGGTTTAATCTTATAAGAAACTGAAATTCAGGTCACAAGCAAAGCCCTACCAATAGGACACTTCAGCCTCCCTCTCACAGTGATGCAAGAAAGCTGAAATACCATCCAGTATTCACACCAGCATTTCTAAAAAATTCCATACTTTTTATTACACACTCAACTAGTTTGTATGTGCAGCACACACTTATTTTTAAGATTTGCCCTATAATATTGCATTAAGTTGAAATTAAAAGGTTATTTAAACACACTCCAGTATTTGATAAGTTTCTGAATGACACCAACACTGCCTAAAAGCTTACCAGCATTTACATTCCGGGGCAGAACAGGAAGGGGGTCAGTGTCTGGGTCAGGTTTGATGAGAATGGAGACAGCAGAGGAGGCAGTGATCTCCCTCAGGAGGCTGCTCACACCCTGTGTGGATTCCTTCAACAGGGAAGTTACATTTTGTGTGGATTCCTTTAACAAATCAGACACGGTGGGTGTGCACTTGCTCTGCCCGTTTAAATCCTTATTATCGATGTTGATGGCGAAAAGGATGGAGTTCAGACCTTCAAATAAGGGAAAGGGGAAAAAAGAAACCCAAAATGCACTTTATAGTTCACACTTCATACTTCACACAAAAGCTAAAAACATAGAACCTAAGGATTAACAAAGCTATGACATGTAAAATATTTTTCCAAAAAATTTCCCACAGTTCTCCATGTATGAATTCTTATTCTTTCGTGTACCATTCATTCTTTTTTAGATTATGTTCAAGCTGATGCAATCAGTTCTGAATTCATCTTGATGGCTGTTCAGCTGCACATTAAATAAGCAATAAGTACTGTGAACTCATTTATTTATAACCTTTTATTTAAACCCATTTCACTGCAACTTCAATATTTGTTGGTTCCTGTATTCTATTACCAAAAACTTCTGTGTACTTTGTTTTGCAGAACAAAGCACATGACCACGTATCTGAAAAAAGGGATAAAAGAGGTAGTAAAACATCACTTCTGTGGTCAAACACTAGAAAAGTAAAGTATTTGTTATCACTCCTTACTGCTCCTCTCCTTACCTGTATTTGCCTATAATTTGGATCTTACTACAAAATTCTATCATTACCCTTTTCTAGTCAGGAATAGCCCATTTTGTTTTCTCCAAATTGCACTTGTTTTAAGTTAGCCTTGACTGTTGAAGAGTAAAAACATTTATGTGAAAGACTTTTGAACTGTAGGAAGGCCAGATCCAGATTTTAACAATCCATCAATTCACAGCATAAACTGGCACAATACCTTGACAATTCACCCTGACTGTGCCTCTGACACACATTCTCCACATAAGCAGTGTGTCAGAGAAGCTCCTCACAACCAGAAATAGATATAACATCCCAAAAGGCAATAGTCTTCCAAGAACAGTAAAATTTAACAGAAAGTTTTACCAGCTGCCATTGTAGGGATCATACTGGAACGTTCTTCATCCATCATAAAAGACCAGTCTTCATAGAAGACACTATAATTTGAGAGGAAAAAAAAAGAATATGTAGTCCTATACTGAGTATATATTCCACTTTTGAAAAACAAGAAAACTCCAAAAAATAAGTAAGATTACACCAATGGATTCTGGAATAAGCCTTTTTAGAAATAGCATTACAGTGCAGACTATGCTGATATTCTTGATACTGAGCGAGTATTGCTAAAAGCACAAGAGTAATTAGTGACACAGCAATTCAAGTCACTAATTTCCTCACAATGGTTTTCAGATTTTCCTTATTGTTTCATTTGTCTTCATTTGATTTTATATTGGAAGAACGCTACAGAAGACTGGACCAAAATAAAAATTAAAAGGAGGAATTAACAAACTCAGTTCTGGCAATAACCTTATCCAATACATCCATTAATCAATGCAAATGGAAAGAATGGCTTTCTGCTGGATCCACCGGACTTGATCAAGCTCAACAGTTACTGATAAAACAAGGAGAACACCTCAAATTTTCAAAAAGAACAGGAGCTGAAGATGTATGAGGAGAAAGGTAGGACTCAGTTTGTGAACTTAAATGCATTTTGCACCTCCAAAGTACTTCAGGATTTCGCAATGGAAGTTTTCCTCAGTAACTGTAACAAAAGGTTCAGGAGCTGTTACCAAACCACTGCCAAGGGCTCTGCGGTAGCAGCTCCCCACTATTTCACTGCTGGAGCTTTGCAATTACACGATGAGCACCTCCAAAAGGCAACAGGTCAGTGATGAACTGGTCAGCTCAAGGTTGCAATTTTAATGGAATGAGAGGGGCACCTCAAAGCATGGTGCCAATGTCTCAGTGAGGAAAACTGTTGAAAGAACAGGGAAGGGAGTTAGGAAAGAGGATGGAAATGAAGGTGAGGATACAAGCATAGATTCTCATGGGGTAGAATGAAGCCAGTTTCAGGTCACATGTTGGCATAGGCACAAGCCACCCTCTTAATGGCTGCCAAAAATTTAAAAAATGAACAAAAGAATCAGGTGAAGCAGCTTGACCAGCACAGCAATGAATAGGGCGTATTATTACAGCCGTGGCTTTCGGTTGGTTGTCTGGGGTTTTTTTTATTCTCAGTACTTCATTTTTCAACACATTTCCTGCCTCACAAAGATATCAGATGCAGCACCTGAGTCGATTCTTGTCTGCCAGCAGCATATGAACGTATCTTTCCAGGGAATGTTCATTCAGTGCACAGCGCAGCCAGGCCCGGCCTCTGCCGATATCTGAGGTGATGGCCCTCAGAGAGTAAAAGCGCTGCAGCTCGTGTCTGTTCAGAACCTCCTTCACATAGTACCAAAACACTGGCTCTGCAATTGAATAATAAGCTATTATTAATCAGAACCCAACCAAGAAAACTGCTAAGCTCGTACCTGAATGCATTTACATGCAAATTTATAAAACCAACAGGTAACTTTGCTACCTATACTTTGGACAAAGGTGAATCATTTACCATTTTGGTGCAACTCTTCTGTTAAATAGGTTATTTATTTCTACTGGACTCAGGCTATTTAAGCACTTAGAACTTTTAACTTCATTGAAAAAGCTAAACACACAAACTAAAGGATTCAATCTCATGCTTTTACATAAAAAACACATTTAAGCGACTATTTCATCCATAGGACAGGTTCAGGTGTTCAGCTGAGAATATATTATGCAAAGAAAAAAAAATTCTTTGGAACTCTATGTTACTGCTGATTGTGAAATGTTAGGAGCTCAGGGTGAAAACAACAAAAAAACCCAGATAATTCATCTGTAAAACTTAAAATGATTACAATATGTTGTAGTTTGGCAATCATTAAGTACAGCTTGTCATGAAGGATCTGTAAATTTCAAACAAAAACCACTGCTGAACAATTTCATTTTTCAATTGTCAAAGCCTGACTTTATAGCCTAAACAGCAGTATCCCACTGTGCTAAAAAAAAAAGATGACACCTGTGACTATGCTAGACAGAGTGGGATATAAATCATACCAGACTCATGTGCCTGAAAGTGATATAAATATAGAAATACTTTGCAACTGCTTTCAGGGAAAAGGAAAAAAAAACTAAAAGCAAAACCATACCAACCCAACACCGTAATTTGTAAAGATAAATGCAAGGGAGCCTTCAATTCCATTAAAAACAAAAAAAAAGTCACTGTACAGCATTCTATTTGCTGCAAAGCAGCCATGTTTTTGTTCTTGACCTTCCACACATTGCTTAAGCTTCCTCAGGACTAAAACTGATGTTTTCTTCCTCCTTCCATTCCCCAACCATAGGTAACCTTCCCGACTTTCTCCTCTTCCTCCACATCACCTCACTGCCAAGCCCCCAGGTAAGACACTCATACACGTGAACATGTAGCTAAATTGTTACTAAACTCCCAAGAATCAGAGATGTAACTTTGTACTTCTGACCACTAACACACAGGATCAAAAATTTCATACACCCTCGACCTTAGCAACAGACAGGAAAGAAATCATAAGAATTGTCTTCAAATTAAAAGACATGCTGTTTGCCTAAGCCAGAGAGAGTGGAACAGGGAAGCACATTCCCTGCACCAAAGTGTAAGGCTCACAATTGCAGATAACCAAACCACTGCCTGCTGAAGAGATGGAAACCACCCAGAGTCTGAGAGAGACCACAGAATATCCAATCCCCAATTACAAGTACACACAAGGGAAAAAAAAGCCCACTGAAGAGCTGAAAAATCTGTAAAGACAGTGTAAACAGCTGAATTTGCCTCACTTGTTCATTTAGCACCAGCAAAGTGTCAGGTTCTTGCCCATTACTAAGTAAAAGAGGCAAACATGGAGAACTCACCAATTTCTTTAAGAGCATGGCTACTTTAGCTCCCAAAAAAAGCCCAGCCTGGAGGCTCTAACCCATTAGCAGGAAGGTGAGCACACAAGGCTCAACATTTCACCCTGTCTGCCACAGGGAACAAGTCCACTGCTGAAGCAATTTAAAAACACCATTATATCAAACTACACATTTTGTGTCAATGTAATATCCATTATATGCAGCTGTCTGGTGTCACTGGAAGTTATAACTGCAGATCAACGTGTATTAACAATTCTAGCACCACTAAATATATTTTAAAAAACCCCACCAAAACCCAAAACTCCACTCTGTGGATTTACAAGTGTAACATGTTACACTTGACAGAGTTTCAAAAGTTAAAAAGAAGCTCTTTTCATTATGTGTACCCTGATGAAGAAAAAAAATACTGAAAGTCAAATTTCACAACAAAACTGATTAATATCTTCATATAGTTTTGATTTAAAAACCAAGAGAAACATCAAGGTGAAGAGAAAAATAAAGGAATATTTTCTTTAAATGTGGAGAAAACAATAAAAAACAACTCGAACAACACAGCCCTAAATCTAGAGTCTGAATGCATTTTGTCTTTATTTTAGTTACAAGTAATATAAGTTTCCTTTCTAAAATTACATCAATACTTAGAAGTTAAACACATCTGATGCAATAGAATATGTCAGTTAAAAAGTGGAGTAAGAAAAGGTTAAGAATGAAAATGTTGTAAAAACTTAACAGCACAATTACACAACATTTATCCCTACCAGAATTCAAAATAAACTTGCCACTACACATCATTTAACTGTTAAGAAGTTGCCTCACACCAAAAATTTCTAGAGAAACTTGGTATGAAAGTTAAACTAGATAAGAAAGCAATAATCATTTTCACTGCTACAACACACTGCCAAGAATGAAGTATCCCACCTACAGCCTGCAGTTTAAGCAATGCTTAAAACTTCTGTTAGAAATTATACCACTTGATTGAACACATCAACTACTTAAAATAGTTACAATTAACAACTTACCTGTTTCAGTTTTACTGGAGAAACCTGCTGCCTGTTTGATTGCTGCTGCTGTTAATGCCAGTCCTCGGCTCCTCCTCAGGCCGTGCTGCAACACAGCTTCAAACTGAGCACACAGACAAGTCACTCTGCAACAGAATTTTTAAAGAAATCATAGGAAAAAAAACCAATCAACCATGTTTCTATACAGCAAGTTTATTCCAGATCTCTGAATAGGGAATGTAAAATGAAGCATTATCTCATAAACAGTGAAAGACTCCTTCTATGCACTAATCTCATTATTTGCAGGCAGGATAATCTACTTATACCCACAGTCTCACCATGATGATCGAAAGCTGGGGCACAGAATACATTCAGAACTGGCAATCAATTTGAGAAATCATCCTCACCTGCTGGAGTGGTTGTTAGCCATGTTATGTCAGCCTCAGAACACCTACATTTCATGTAATATAATGTATCAAGTATTCTGTGCCATGTTTTATGTCATTATGATGCATAATCTAAGCATGTCAAAAGTTTCTTAAGACTATTTTACCTGCTATCAGAGTCTGAAGCAATTTCTTTTCTTCCTCCAAACCGTATTTGACACTGCAAGAAACCGAGTTTAAGAAGTTTTACAAAATTTTTGTTACACTAGACAAAAATTCAATTTTCTGAATTTCTTCCATATAAGAAACCAAATCATAACAAAAAAAGGAAGCAGCACAAAATAAAGCATTGGCAAATACAGCCTGAAACCAAAAAGTGCTCTACAGCATCATGTGCCACTAACGGGCTACTCTTGCAGATCAAATATATCCCTGCTAGTCAGAGCAACACACCTGCAGGTCCTTCACTAAATTGAAAATTGAGTGGAAACTACTACTTTGGGGGTTTAAATGTAAAATGTAAAACCCACAAAACTGAACATTGCTCTTATTCAGCCCAGTACTACAATTACAGAAGAATTGTTCTTTATAAAACATATCATTGGCTTACTCCTGAGGCATTCTTTCCCCTCACAAGCCCTCTTAAATTGAATCTAGTGTATGAAATTCTACTTGCTGAACTTCATGTTGATGCAAAATACAGACATAAATAAACAAATCATATCTTTACATGTATTTTAACCATTCACTAAAAAACTACAGCAAAGAAAAAAAGCTTCTACTCTAAAATGTTCACCAAGTTAGCCTTTGCAGTACACTTCAATTTAGTTCAGTCTTATCAGTATTACAAATATATATGTTCACAGCATATATTCTATAGTATTATATATACCTCAAGTATATACATTACAAGTATAATCTGTCAAGAACAAGAATTTTAAACAAATACTGCATAATAGTTGTTTGTTAGCAGAAAAAAAAAATATTTAGTATCATGTAAAAGCCAAGATTTCTTCTCTCTCTCTCCTTTTCTTATTCCTCCTGCTAGTTAAAGAGGAGGAAAAAGAGCAAAGACATTTCCTGCCAGTTCTGACAACTCTGAGCAAGGATACTACAGAAATGTGTATTGGATTTCTCACCTGTTTAACTGCATCCAGCAGCCGTTCTAGAAGAAACTGTCTTTTAGTGTCATTGTTCTGTGAACCTGAAATTCAACGAAATTATATCATTTTAAAATAAATAGGCTCTGTAAAATATGTTTGGGCCAACACAAGGGCCCTGAAAACTTTCCTCCCATGCCAATTATTCCATTACATTAACTAACGTATTTTCTCTAAGTAAAATGATGCAGTACAAACTCTGTTTTGAGGTTTCAAGTAGCCTTTCTATAACATGCTGTTATATATGTATACAATATGCTGGTATAGCAGGAATACTGTTTCAAATATCATCTAGAGTCTTATTTTAGTAAGATTTTGGTTTCATGATATAACATATATTGCAGTAATACCAAATGCAGTATAATTGTGCAAGCTGATGCACAGCACAACCAACCACCTCTGGGGCCACAGTGCAAGCCTACAACTAACCCAGTTTAAGATTTTTTCTTTTTCTGGTGGGTTGGATGAGCTTATGATGGAGCTCACACAACCACACAAGTATTCACTCACACTGGGACAACTACCAGCTTAGTAGAACGAGAAAAAGAATGGAAAATGAGCAGGAGAGAGCAGGAATATCTTACTGTCAAACAACCTCACTGCAGAAAGAGTTTTAAGTCAGGTGAACTTTGTAACTGTTACAATCAATCCCTTAAAATTTAGCTACCAGCAGAGTTCTTCCTGATTAACACTTATAAAATCTAGTTTCTTACTATTCAAGCAACTATGCAAGACAATCTTTAACTTCTCAAGCATTTCAACAACAAATAGCACAATACTTTGCTTGTTGGAATATCCTTTATAAAGTCCCATGAATATATGTAAAATTTATTCTTTAATTAACCTATATTACCTCTATAATGTTTTTATTCTGAGCTTAAGTTCAAAATATCTATCAGAAACCTCTGTGAACTCTCTAGAATTAGGGTCATTATTATCCTTTCCCTCTTAAAGAACATACAATCAATACATGTATAGACTGAAAGCCAATTATCAAAACTCTGCATGAGCAAGTTCCTCCAGACACTGAAAATCAAACACCACACAATAAGCTCTTTAGTAAAGAGAGATGACATCAAAAATATGTCTCTTCCTCTTGCTATCTGACACTGTGATGTCCAAATCCCAGAATTTCCTATTTTCATAATACCATTCAAAACAGTTTGCTCCTAAACCAGGACAGGACAGAATATGTCCTACTGAAATGGCTCTGTCTTTGTTTAAATATATATACTCATATAATATATTAATATATATTATATTAATATAATGTTTGAATATATATTCATGTTAATTTGTCTATAAATATATTAATATAACTCATAGTCCATGTATATTCATTAAATATGGGATTAGGAGAGGAAAACCCCCAAGGTACAATAGAAGAAAGAAAACAAGAAAAACGTGCAAACGTAGCTGCTCACTAACCAAGCTTCACAAGGCTTATTTAGCTGATTGCAGTGTGTTTTCTAGAAGTTATACTTCCAGTTTTGAACTCTGACTCAATCTGGGCAGGCATGTGATGTGTGAGGTTCAGGTCTGTTAGTCAAGCACTTCGCTGCACACAAACAATGTTCAGAGGCAGCAAAGGACTCCAGAACAAACTCCACACCAACCAGGTTTTAGCTTCCTAACAACTATGCCAGTTATGCCACTGCAAAGATAAGGTTAAATTCATATAATCCCTACCATTCCACTTTGTGCTCCTTCAGAGATTATAATTTATTAAATTATATTCAGTGCTTTTAGCAAGCATGCATTGCCAAAAACGGAGATGCATACATGCCTCTGCATTTATATGTCTTGTAATAAATCACAGAACTGTAAAATAAGGAAAACTATCCCAGCTTTTAGTACAACCCCTCACGTGCAGTGACATTGAATGTACACAAACCTATAGATTTTCTTCAAAACTCACTACTTTTACATATTATGCTACCCACATACCTGCAAGAACACGCATAACACAACTTTTCTTGAGACTACATCAGAACAAATGCATGTAATTAATAATTTCATGACCTGAAAAACACCTTTCAAATGAAAATATTGGTATGTGGGCTAAGTTTGACTTCCAAATGCAATACATGTTAGTTTTTAAGTTCACACCTCTTCAGACTCTTTGTATCTATTTGGTAACACAGGAACTGTTTGCAACCAGATTTCAAACTGTGATCAATATAAAAAATGCATAAATACAGAAAACCTACAGATTTTCACTACACTAATTGATGTTCTGAAACACTAAAGCCTGTGATATCAAACAGCCCTAAATCTACACAGACTGAATGCAATGTGCATTTTGTCTTCATTATAGTCACAAATTTGCACTAATAACAATCAGGACTACACGTGATTACATCCAATAATGTCAGAAGCATTTCAAATCACCTCCACCATTAACAAGGCTATAAGGCCACATAATACTATAAAGTCTATACTGAGGGATGGCCGAGGTTTCTCTTCAATGCACATCTTAAATTCTTCTACTGCTGTGCTTAATAGAAATTCTGCAGACAGAAGAAAAATATTCACAAAGTCTAACTTTTTTTAAACTGAAAGATTAAGTTGTGTGCTTTTTGAACACAGGATATATTGTTCTTTGTAATAAGCCTAGAAAATGTAGTAGTATTTAGCAATGTTTTCATTTCAGGTGGAAGGTAAAAATAAATCTGTACTAACTCTAAGATTTTACTCTTTTACGTCTTCATTTTCTAAACTAAGCCTTTTGGAAACAAAAAAAAGTGTATTTTCAGACAAGAGCAGCAATTAAGTGTGATTAACTCCAGCTGATTTAAAGTCTAAGTGTATTCCAAACTGACCAAAATACCCTTCTCCAGATTCAGAATAGTGGTAAAAACTGCAGTAACACACATACAAATACAAAACAGAGAATGCACAAAAACAGCATCACTCAGAAAAAAGGCTGCATTTAGACTTTAGCAACAAAAAAAGGAAGTTCCTACATGAGTCTAAAAATAATTGTGAAAACATAAGCATAAGGTTGCAAAAGTTAAGAAACTTAAAGAGACTCCTCCCACCAACATCTATGTATGTTAAAAAGGGTTTAAAATAGGCTCAGGTGCTGCACCTGCCTCTGTGACCCTCCTTATTTTCTGTTGTTCAAGGTCATGCTTTCCTATTTTTGAAACAAACTTCTCTCCATACCCTGACACAAACATCCACACCCAAAGCAGCACAGAACTGACATGCAAGTAAAGGAAAGCAGGATTTTCATCCAATTTTTTATAGCTAAAGCTCTTCAGCACCACATGTAGCATATAAGTTAAAAAAATAAATCTCAGCTTGCTCTTAAAACACTACTTGTATTTAAGTCTTGTATGCAAAATATCAGACTGCAATCCCTTTTGCTTGCTCTAGTACAGGTTCTGAGGGTACAAGTTTAAGACAAAACAAACACAGACTTAATTTAAATGCCACCTGATACTACATTATTATGATTCTACTGCCTCATCCTCAATTAGGTGCCTTTTTAAGTTTTCTGAAACTGTTGCTAAACAACTGACAACACCCATAAATCTTGACAAGCACAGAAGTCTAGTTTCCTTGTGTTACTTCCCTTTAAAGTTTAGCCTATTCAGCACTTGTACAATAAAATATGACTATGCAATTAATAAGTAGCATTAGTAATATTTAAGTAATGCTTAAATAAACAGGAAGTTACCTTCACATCCACTAGAAATGCACTGTAGCTAAAAAAATAAACATTAAACTTAATTATAGCCACTAGGAAAAGAGGTTCTTCTATCTATATTTTAGAACACCTCTTTTACTTTCAAAGGCTAAAACTGGCCAAGGAAATAAGTGCAGACAGTGCTGTTACAGCTGCTAAAAGAAGGACATGGTTAAAACTGATGTTAACATTAGCTATCTCCTCTATCTGAAACAAGCATGATAATGATAGATATTTCTTTGTTCTGAACTGTTTCATTTGTATTATTCTGGAAAAATTCTGCACAGTGTTGTATAACAGTAATGTTTGGCAAAGTGCAACATCAGTAGGGTTTTTTGTTATCTCACTGTGTAATCAAAACTGTTGGGAAAGTCATATAAGTCTTGGCAGGGGCTACACTTGGCTAGGTCACCACGTAACTGAAGTACTAGTGTTAATGTTAATTAATAACCTTAGGCATTATTCTGTTTTAAGTAATTAAATGTTTTCTCCTCATAAACTTGTATCTCTTCATTGTCTTAAAAAAAACAAGAGTAAAGGTATTAAAAATAGCTACATGATGAAGCTTTAGGCCACAAGAGGTGCTACCTTGCCTTTTGAGTCACAGAATCCAAACAGAGCTTCCAAAGGTGAGTCTCCCAGGAAGATTTAGGCTCTGATTTGCACAAATTTGCACAAGGCTAGTCCCGGCCTGAATTCACCATTGAAGAGCTGAGGTTTTCCACATGAAAACAAAGACTCTTACAGATTTCATATAGGGTTTAGTCTATATCGTGTCAAGATCTGAAACATTTGAGAAACTTTCTTTTCCCATGGTTTGAAAGATTTCCCTGTTACTTGCATTTTTCACAAGGCTAATTAACAGGTTTCCCAAAAATAATCTCTTTTTTTGCCTCATCTCTTCCATAAAAAAACCCTGCTGTTTTCTTCTTACCACAAAGTTCAGAACAAAACAGAGAAAAATACAACTGAAGCAGTTTTATTTTTTATTTCATTTTCAGAAATTACTGCAGTGTGGCATTTAGTTACTCCAGTTAACTCCTCAGTATTTTCTTATAGCCTTACAGGCAAGAAGTCTCACCACATATTAACTCAGGGTGGGGGATAAACAAGCAATCTCATTTTCAGGTGCAGACTGTTGACTGCAACTTCCATTACTGAAGTTGTACAAGGAGACCCACCCAAGTATTTACTTCTTAAGAAGCCCCAAATAAACCCCTGCCAATGTGCTTTAATACATATTCAGTAACTACCACTTATCCTTTACATTTACAAGAGAAATCTATTAAAATTTCATTCTCCCTCACAACTCTTTATGCTGACCCATTCATGTGGTTCTACATCCTCCAGTCCTGGAGTTTATAGGTCACAATTCTCAGGCAAAGCTTCCAAGAATTTCCTTTGACAAACACCTCAGACCCCCTGGGATTCAGCACACCCCCCGCACCGCTTTCCCCGAACACGGAGGGCAGAAATTCCCACATCCAGACCCGACACATCCTCGCCGGGACTGAGCTGGAGACACAGTCAGCACACCCCGAACACCAGAAGGCACCACTTTCTCCACTGGGCATGGTCATGCTTCTCACCTCTCCCACCGCCTGCTTGATATTGAGTTCATTCTGTTAATTTTTATTATTTCCGTTTTTCTTGGTCATGTATTTTCTCGGGAGTATTTCCCGTGATCTTGCACAGTTGAGGCAACACCGAGCCCAGCATCACTTGTGCTGTGAGCCAGTAAAGCCACGCTCAAGGGCAGCACTCGGGGTTTAAAACGAGGTAAACCAGCACTTCGGGGGTACTTGGGGGAGCCGGAATGAGGAGCGGGGTGTGGTGATGAGAGACCGAAGCGCTCGGTGCCTCAGCACGGGGAGAACGGGGGACCGGGGCAGGACCACGCCTGGCCGGGGACCCCCGGGCTGTGCCCTCCCCCGGGGGCGGAGGGCCCGGCCCGCCCCACTCACCGCTCATGGTGCCCGCGGGGCTCCGTCCGCCGGGGCCGCCGCTCTCCCGCTCAGCCACGGCCGGGCCGGCAGCGACCGCCCGCCCCGGAACCCGCCCGCGCCCCGGAAGGTAAACACGGCCCGGGGTGTGGGGAGCGCGGCCAGCCCGGGGGCCCTCAGGGGCTCCTCACGGTGTCCCCCGGCACGGAGCCCTTCGCCGACCCTCATCGCGACCCCACAGCCCGCGGCAGCCGCGCCGCCCCCGCCCGCCCGGGCTGAGCCGCTCTGTGGGGCGGGAAGGGACACCGGGCACGGGAGGGGTGGGAGAAGCGGGGATAACCTGTCCTGCGCTGGCACGGGGGCTGTGCAAGGTGAAAGCTCGGAAACGGTCATTTTTCGAAAAAATAAAAATAAAAAAGGTACAAAAACTGTGGGACATAAAATAATATGAAATGTGATCCAACACGCAGAACGTAGTTGCAATAATCAAAATAAAAGGTTTTGTGTTATAACTAGACCACTTGCTCGTCCTTCGGTAGCCGATAATGGAAATGAAGTTTCGCAGCCAGTCTGAGGTTTTTTAGCAAGCCACAGCCACTGCAAGCGCCTTCTTCCACTGGACACGTTAATGTTTCACTTTGAAAGTGTGTCTCTAATCTCTAGAGGCAGAAAAAGCTGTCCTATGTAAGGGCTTTCAGGAATTAAAAATTCCAATATAAATTTAGTAGCTCTCTATCCAGGCCTGTTTCAGAAGTTTTGGCTCTATGTGCCCAGACCTATGCAGCTAAATCCCAACCGGCCCAAGCTTTGTCAGACTCCTAAAGCTGCTCTAACAGGGATCGTTCATAGATTTTGTGCAATAATTTACTAGTCCTAAAATATTTTAATTCATCATTTGTGCAAGAAACTGAAATGTAAAGTTAGCTATGAATAAAGAAGATCGTTGGGTTGACTTTTTTTCTGTTGTTGCAGTTTTCCAGGAGTATAACTGGCCTAATATTAGGAAAATAATATTAATGTTTGGAAGGCAAGGGGTCAGAAGTATATTCCTAATATTAGGCCACACAGTAGTCTGGCATGACTCTTGCTAATCGCCAGTCTTTGTAAATATGATAAAGGTAAGTAAAAAAATTAGTAGAATAGAGATACATCAGAGAAGGATGCTGAAAGGAAAGCTGGTATCACCAGGAAATACATGGGGATGGCAGGGACTGCAGTGAAGTCCAGCAGCTGGACTTTGATGACCCTTGTGGGTCCCTTCCAACTCAGGGTATTCCATGATTCCATGGTGTGGTGTTCCACAGCCCCACAGCCTCCCTCAGTGTGACCCAGCAATACCTTCTGAACCGGGAGGACTCCATTCTCTACAAGGATCCATCGTTAGAACATTCCTGTTTCAAGTATCATAGGGGCTACAACCCTGAGGATGTACTGTGGGTCTTCATTTCTGCCTCTTGGAACATTCCTTGTATCCCATCAAGTAATTTTTGGCACAAGATCTGAGTTTAACATAAAGCATATATTTGCACACTTGTTTATTGACAGGTTTGTATATATCTGGTGTAAGTAGATACAATCTTTAAGAGCAGCAAAAGCTGTCCTTTGTAAGGACTTTCAGAAAGTAAAAATTCCAATAACTAGTTTAGTACCCGAGAATAATGTAGAAATACTTGACTAGAGAAATACTAGCATTAGAAATAATATGACAATATTAATGAAAGCTCAATGGAAGATCTATAAGGACAATGTACTACCTCCTCCACTGACTGCAAGTATTAAGATTAATCACCATACTGGAATAACTCATTTATTACTACACAGTAAAAATATACTACTCTCATAGTCATCCAACACCCAGAACATAGTTGCAATAATCAAAAGATTTTGTGGTAACTAGAACAGTTGCTCGTTCTTCAGTAGCTGGTAATGGAAATGAAGTTTCACAGCCAGTCTGAGGTTTTACCAAGCCACAGTCACTGCAAGTGCATTCTTCCACTGAATACATTAATGTTTCACTTTGAAGTGTGTGTCTAATTTCTTCTGTATTCACACTGCTGTCAGTATTAGCCTTGAGAATATTATTCAGCTCTACAGAGGAGTCTGTAAATATACAGAAGTTAATATAGTACATACATCATCCTATACCAAACATACAGTTATTAAAGATCCAAATTTCATTATGTTCCAACTATGTTCTAACCTTAGTGAAAGTTTTAAGAGGTAGTTATATATGATGATCTTTTGTTCCATGAAAATATAACTGCTATACTTCAAGCATTTTCTAATAAGTTATTATTTATTGTCTGAACACTCACAAATAGAGTATTTGTAAAATGTAAAAAGAGATTAAATTTTTTCACTGTCACAAAATATACCACATAGACTTCTCACACACTGCAATACTAAATAAAATTATTTAAATTATTATAAGATGAAAAGCTAATATTGAATGCGTATCCTCTACCTGTGTAGAATTCCTTTTGCATTCAAAGAGGGTGAAACCCTTATAAAGGTTTTTGCTATTGAGGGTTCATAAATGACTTCTCAAACACCAGTAAGTAAGCCAGGTATGAATATACAACCATACAATCCTGGCAGGATCTGGAACCAACAAAGAGAGATTCCTGCTTTTGCAAGTCACCATCTGGGTATTTTATTGCCTAATAACTTTGATAACTTCATGGAGACTATTTGAGGAATACAAAACAATCCAACAAAGACAGTCATCAGAATCGGGAATATAAATGACATGCAAAATTTGTACATGGTAACAGTAGCTAAAATATACAATGATCTCAGATTATTTATAAAGAATCTTATTTATTCACCTGTGTTTTCCAGTTTTTCTTTTGACTGCTTTAGGCGCTTCCTTTTAAACAAGACCATTAAGGTGAACAGAGTGAGCATTAAAATTACTCCTAAGCCCAAACAAATCCAAAGAATTCCACTTGAATCGGTACCTTATGAAATAAAAGAGATGCATGAAGTTAATCCATAAACAATAACTAATGTACAGTAAACATGTCCAACACATCAAACCTGTGTAAAATACAACACAAGAGTGCCCAGCGCAGCCACAAAACGCTGCAGCAACACACTTACTCTGCTCACAGTAGTTCTCACACGAAGGCGGTGGCGAACTGGAACATCGGAGATGACAAGGCGTACAAGAGAGCAGCAAATGATCAAAGTATTCATTTTTGGGGCAGGGTGCCATCAGGGGCAGTAATTATGGAACTACAAAGCCACAGAAACTGTAAAAGAGCGAGGATCATCTACAAGGGACTTCTCAGTTTGAGCAACTCTAAGAGCAGCTAGCATTAATGGACTTCCATCACAGCCCCACTTCATAGTATCACGTTACATAGAAGGGATTTAACTCTGAGGTCCCCAAGGAATTACTGTTCCTTTTTTTGGCAATTCACAATTGTAGAAAAACTGAGCAGCTGCACCAATCTTGTCTGAAACAGAAAATGGTTATTTATAGAAGGCATTTCTTGGACAGGTGCTGAAGATTACAAATCATAGAAAAGATCTCCAAACAGGAGTTCATAATAATTGTTCTTGTCTCTAAAACTTTGTGGTGATGGGCTGCAGTAATCATGTTTTCTTATAATATGCAATGCTTACTTTTTGTCCCAGTCCAAAGACAAAAAAAACCCAGAGGCAGGAGACATAGCAGTAAGAAGATATGACCAGTTCAGTTCCCTGGTTTGCCACAGACTCACTCTGCAGCTTCAGACAACTTCCATCGTACCTGTTTCCCTGGATGGACAACAACATTTAAAACACATAGCTGATGAAAGAATTGCTTCTTGTAAATGAATGGGGTTCTGATTTTAAAAGAGATACTGTTAAATTACAAGTTCAACAAGAACTTCATGACTGTGTTGTATAAAATACTTCTAAGACCTTTAGGTATAATGGAATGACAAAATCTAGAGATTTGGTCATTGAGATATTGCTCCTCAATTCCAAATTAGCCTCATTTATCTAGTCTATTAGGTTTGGAGAGGCTTATTTGCTGGGTTCATTTTTAGGGTTTTAGCTATTTTTTTGCTTACAACCATGGTTATATGAGACATTTAATAATATTACATTCTAATGATGAAAGAAAAGCTTTATCGGTATTTTAAAATTTTTATTCAAAACATTATCTGCATTTTTCCCTTATTTTTCCATAATACATGACTGTCACTGTGCTATAACTGCAGTACCCAGCATGGAAAAATAGGCGTATATGACACCTCCATCCCAGCCTGGTAGATGTATACACAGTGAATGTAACATTTCTGAAAATGTATTTGGTCTTCTCACAGGAAAAAGAAAAGGCTTTGGCAGGAGACTGCCACAATGAAAACAGTTCACACAGCTAACTTGTATCTTGATGGCTTAATCTTATAGAATTTATTTTAAATACAAAGTTAACCAGTAATATCTAGCAAGTAGCAATAACTGCCCCTATCCAGTATCACTGGCATAGCTAGATCAGAATTACAGGCTTATTTATAATTAAATTTCTCTTTGCCATGTTTAAGTTAATTGCCTTTTTGACTACAGAAAGAGAAAAGAAAAACATTGTATAAGAAACTGTGATTTCATACCACATTACTGTGTACGAGACTTATTCTCCCACAAAATAAACCATGTGGGAATACACAAACTGTTTGGAGTGGAACAGTGTAACAAATCTGTATTCTAGTCTCTAGCAGATGGAAATGTTTATTGTGTCTTCTGCACTTGTTTCTATGGGCCAGGTGCACAGCTGAAGGCTTTCTATTGTAGGCTTTTCTCCCTATTCTAAACTAGTGGATAAATAGGAATTGACAAAATCCAGTTTAGTTGTGACAAAAGAAAATAAGGACCACAGGTGATGCCAAAAGTTTCACTGGGAAGCCAATGCTTGTTCTGATTTGCCTCATATATTTACACTCCTGGGGAAGAAACCCAGATTATGGCTCGGATATCATTCATGTTTCTGATGAAGCTTGTGCACAGAGTAATTTGAGTCTTTGGTTTGAAGCTGCTGTTTAACCTTTTCAGTCATGGAGAGGACGGTCACATCCTCCACAGTGATCTCAAGATGGCAGATACTCATGAAAGTATCTGCACGGTAGTGAAGTGATTTCAGGACAGATAAGCTGGGTCCAACACTTTAAGCTTTTATCAGTATAATTCCATTGAGTCCAGTGAAAGATCCCAGCCTGTGCTGCACTCCTGAATTGTGTTTTCCCACGTGCAAGAACTTAAATTTGCCTTTGTTGGGCTTCATCACGCACTCCTGCTCTACTTGTTACTGTAATGTATCCTACAACTGATACCTACTAGATATGATGTGGTACTACTCATAAAAACCATGAAGAAGGGGCTTAATAAGAGACATATTGATCTAAAAGCAAGGAAAGAAATAATAAGATATGTCTACAGTGGGTGTAGATACTGCTTATAACATTTTTTCTCTAAGTAAACATTGCTATACCCAAATATGATTTCTAAATTCCAGGGGGAATGTACAGAAGTTCTCAACACAACCACCATTTAAATTAACAAAACAGTAAGAATACTTTCTCTGGTGCAGTTGATGCAGACATGATTTCAACCCTGAAACTTAGAAATTTCACTTCTGAAATCTGGAAAGATGACCGAACTTGAGGCTTCTGTGCTCCACTAAAGCAAGGAAAAATACATCATTGGTAATGTACAGGCAAAATACATTCCAAAAGATATTATTATGCAACAGCTGTTGATGAATTATTTCTGGAAAATTAGATAGTTCTCAAAATACCACTCAAGAATTTTTCTAAAACTTAAATAACTCACATAGGTCTAAGGTCACCTTGACTGGTCTGAATCATTTTAGGATGGCCTGGTGAAACAAAGAGTTATAAGTTCAGGACGTGGACCAATCTTTTCCTTTCCAGATCATACTACCTTTGTGGATGATCTGAAAAAAAATAGGAAAAACACACACACACATGCACAAATAAAACAAACAACATTTCAGTGAGGTGCAAAATACCCATTCTATCTCTAAGTTTGAAGCTCATGTGATTAAATCAACATTGCTTTTCTCGAGTAGATTAAGAAATTACCATTTGTGGCAAAGCCGCCGAAGTCTTGATGTGTTCCATGAAAAGAACCCGAAGGTGCTGCTCTTGCTGAGGGTGTCACTGGGAATACAAAGCAGCTCAGAGGGGTAGTGGAAGCAAGCAAACCATGGCAACCTTGCACAGTTTTATGTCTTCCAGGCAATGCACATTCTTCCCCTTTCCATAACCCTCTGCACATGTTTTGACAGGGCAACACTGACAGTAGTTTGGAAGAAATTGCATAGACCAGATGATATTTGAAGAAAAACAACAACAGAGATTCTCAAGGCATATTAAAAATTCAGCGCTGTTATGTGGAACATTTTGAAATGATCTATTGGTGCTTCCCAGTAGATGTAACCCAAATATAGGACTTCTGGGAAAAATATTAAAGAGAGGACTGTAAGACTCTACATTACTTTGTGAGACAACTATTAGTGAAAGTAACTTAATGTTATAATTCTTATCACAGGTAGTATTATTAGAGTCTTCACAACTACTTTGCTTTTTGCTATTAAATTCTTTCCTCTGTTTTCCTAGTGCAGAAGAAGTGCATCTGTTTTTTCATGTTGGCAAGAGCTTTTCTTGTCTACACAAAATACATCTCTCTCCAAAACAGCATCCTGTCACTGAACTTTAGTCCATCTGCTGCGTGATATGCAGAAGTGTTAACATAGTGATTCCTAAAATATTTTGTCACCCAAATGTAGCAAGATATATTCTAAATCAGATTGGTTTCGCATAGAAATGATTCATGTCTAGTTAGTAAGACTGGTCTGGAGGTCACCAAAGATGTCATTAGATGATATAGAGCTAAGCTGGTTAAATGTCTTGGTGTCAGTGAAAGGGACAGTCCTGCTCTTCTCTCTGTACTCTGAAGCACCAGGAAGGGCTCTGGGGCTTACCTGACCACATGGCAAGCAGCTTTAATTCCTTAATCCAGGCAGTTCCCAGAGGTTTACTTCCTAGGGCCTGGAAAAAAGGGCCAGAAACAAAACAGAAAAAGAAGAAAGGGTTGATTACTAGTGGGGATGTGAAACTAAGTCCACCACAGAAGTACACATTTGGTGAACTAATATCTTAATTTGAAATTAGTCTTTATTTGAAAAGTCTTGTCTCTAAGTACAGTAGAAATTAATGTCTAATTATTTGCTATCATATGTATGGGATCATAAGATATTGTGGCAGATATGCTTCCACTCTCAGCTGGCCAGAAACAGTTTTCCTACATGGCTAGTTAGAGTTCAAACATATTTATCATAAGACAAGAAGTAAATACAAAGAAGTCTCATATTTTCAATCAAACTCTGGAAACTTCCCCCCAATTAAAAGGTTAAATACAGCTCATTTCATCAGACCTCTGGAGAATGATGCTGTCTCTTACAGCAGTACTTTTCCTCCCACAGTTGGACTGCTATTTCCCAAAGCTTACAGCCTGTAGGGGTAAACTAATTCCCAAAACACAAATCCTTGATTATTAAGCAGTACATTTTTCACACGTAGGAAACTGGGGAGCAATGAGAGTAAAGGGTCTTTAATGTGCCATTCATACAAACAACCACCATACAAGTCACAGCCTCTCCTCCTGTACTATTTACAGTTCCATTGAAGTATGGAATGACAAAACAGGGGCAAAATATGGTTAGAAAAGTCCTAACATTCAAAAGTCCTACTTCCCAAGGGTGTGAAAGCAGGCATATAATCAGAAGATCATCATAAGCAATAGTTCCCACTGACAGATCTTGCCACACATCTAAAACACACGGTATTTCAAAATCTGTGTCCAGGAGTAAGGAATACATTTTCTGTCTTAACAAGATTCTTGTGCAACCTTCAATTTTGAGCAATTTGATAGAAGGAAGTTAACATTACTTTAAAAAATCCAAAACTTTAAGCATTTTGTTGGGAGAAGCATACTATGCCAATTGGCTTTACTAGGAGAGAAGTAATACCTGAATTTAGAAGCTGTTTGTGAAGTAGAATATTGGATTCAGCCAATAAATGAAACAAAACCAAGAAGCATTAAGAAAAAAATCATTAAGTGACATTAAGATAAGGATATTATTACTTAGAAACTGTAGTTATGTTAATAATGAATCCACTGTCTTGTATAATACACATTAAATCCCCTCAGCAGAACACTATTTTGTTCTTTGTAGTGTTCAAACACACACACACAAATATGCAATGGATGGAATGATGGTTTTCCTACAGTGATGTTTGCCTTTAGGGAATAATAAATATATGCCTTATTTACCAGCAAAGTTACATTTCAGCTTTTTTTTCTGTTATGGGATTTACATAGCTTGCTTTGGCTTTCCACAGTTACCTGCTGATAGTAATAAATGCTTTTTCCTTGTCATGTGATTTTGCTCCAAAAGGATGACAGAAATTAGCAGAGTTGTACAAAATAAGAAAGGATTTATCAAATACAATAATCAGTCATTTAACCATAAATCCACAAGGTGTTGCCAGGGAGGTATTTTTGCAGTTACATTACTGTAATTTAAGTTTAAAAGCTGCCCAAGATTTCCTCTAAGGATGATATATTTCAGACAGGTTAAACTGGCCTGCTGGAGTTGACATTATTACTGAGAGTAATGGGAAATAAACTTAAGAAGGAAAGTGTCAACTACAGAAATGACAGGGGAAAAAAAAGAAATGGAAAAACCAGTTCTCGGATTTGCTTCTAAAATGTTTCTGTTTGACTCAGGAGTGACACCTGGGGACAATTTATAAATACTTATTTGCTCTCCTAATGTGATTCTCAATCACTGGCAACTCTTCTCTGAACTTCAAATCTGCATTGGGAAGCAGTAAAACATCTGTTTGTTGTCTAGAAGAAAAATTTCAGTGTACTGTCAGTTCTAGCAGGGTATCAAACTACTGAACAGGATTTCAAGAAATCAAATAATTTCTACTGGTGAAGGGAGAACAGGTAGGAAACAGCACAGCACAGACAGTACTTTGGAGCTGTACACAAACATACACACACACACTCCAGATTTACAACCTTCCATATGTGAGCAGAGCATCCACAGTCCCATGTTGCTTTGGCAGAATACGGGCACACCAAGCACTGCACATGAATCCAAATTTGACTGTTGTTTTCCTTAAACATCTGGAGAAACCCAAGACTGCCAGCAATCCTTATCAGTGCTCATTTCTAACATGTGAAATTGGGATTGTGTGACAGAAAATAGTCACCTGAAAAAAGTAAGGGGAATTTTATCTTTCGCTATTTAATTTGAAAAATAGCTACTGTGAGCATCAAAGCCAAAATAATAAAATGAAAACTCCGAAGGGAAAAATGGAAACAATTAGTACTGTCATGTCAGTAATTAAACATAAAGATTGAAATTCATCTGTCACAGAACAGTACCTGAAGGTCTATTTACCACACAGAACTTCAGGAACCAAGTTTTGTTCTGGCACTGCTTGGGGTTTCTCTGTTCATGCCCATGCCAGCTTTTTTGCCTGAATGTACTTCAGAAATTCTGCTGGCATAATTACATAGCACTTAGCAAGAGAAAGAGGGTTTTCTGCTAGGACTGTTACATTCCCTTCACAAACAACACTAGCTGGGCTGACAAAGGAATTCTTCTGGCTGTATAGTTGCTTCTACACTGGTGGGTTTGTGCTGGCACAGCTCTTTTTTTTCACTCACTGAGGCAACTGACCCACACTGTCAAATCTTATAGCACAGGCTTGGGCTGAGTCCTCTCCAGTTCTCTAAAGCTAGTTACAGACTAAGCCCAAAGAAAAAAAATCCCTTAAAAAAACCTCATCTCAATAATCCTAAAAATCTGTGAGATCAATGTACATACTAAAAAACCACTACTTTTTCTTCCCCAAAGTTACTGCACTTCAAGGACCAACAGCTCTTACAGACCATCACCTCCTAAAAAAGCAGTGAAACTTTCTGAAAGGGTTCTTTTCAGAAATGCCTGTTTTGTGAAGTGTCTGCCTCAGCTGTATGGCTGGGAGGAGATAAGCTGCTCTAGGAATGGGGTACACACTGCTAGTAAAGGAAAGGAAGGAGCTATTAAAGGATTCATCATATTCATTAACTTTTACAAGCTGCACAGAACAATGCTCTTTTTAGACAAAATATTGTTTAATGTCTTTTGCACACAGGGCAAAATCAAGAACAATGTGCATTTTGTCTGTTTGGTTCAGCACATTTTAATTAGATGGCTGCTTTGAAAAGAGTGATGTTACTGTTGCTACATCTACTATTTCCAGAAAAGATTAAAGAACAAAACAACCAAAGAGAAAAATGTTCCTTTAAAATAGTAATTAAAATAACAATAGTATAAACATTATCAACTGAATCACAGACAACTTCTGTGTCCCCTACAATGCTCAAAGCTGACTTAGCTGGGAACCAGCATATGGCAGTGCTGACCCTTTGGGGAAAGAAGATACCTTTTCATTTTTCTGACATTTCACACGTGCCAAAATAGTTATGTAACTACTAAGGACAATGCATAAAACAGTAATTGTGCAAGTTTGGATTAAGCCAATGCTTGTTAGAATGCTAGTGACATTTTTATGTTGGTGCAATAGTTTTTGCAGAATGTAAACATCTTTTTCCTTCATTTCTTCATGTAAGCACTTCACTTTGTGTTGGAAAAATAATGTCCCACGCACTTTGCAAGTGGACAAAACAAACAAAAAGTAATCAGTGGTATAATGCAAACAGGAGTAATGGAGTTACAATTAAAATAAATGTGCATGAACAACTACAAATGATTTGAAGTGCTTGGCATACACTAAAGTCTAACATGAATTTTTCTTCTGGTAGCTTTAACCAAATTCTCCAGCTATTCAGTGTTTGTGGAGAAGTTTAGGTGACACACAGTCACTTTTTTCAAATTCTCCTGTACAGCATCACAGTGCCAACACGTGCTCTCTCTTAAGACAGGAGAAAAATTGTAATTGATTTAGCCATGGCCATTCCAGAATAATTCCCCGTGCAAATTGCCTTCTCTGGAATAAGAATACTGGCACAGAATACTTCTGGAGTAATTAGGCCTATTTAGAAAGAAGCTCACTATTTCATTCTCACCATTTCATAATGAAGTAATTATTTTCTGCAACAATGTTAACATGTTAACTTGCCATAGAAGAACAGCTTTAAAAATCCCATGACACTGTTATTCTTTCTTCATAACAATAATGCCATTCTGCTTTAGTCATTAATGAAACTAAAATCCTAAGGGATCTCTAATGGGCAACATGCTCCCTCAACTGGAATTCCGGGGAATTAAGAAGGTGAAAAGAAAGCACATGAAAATCCCACATGGAACTAGTTTTCTTTTCCCACCTCCCTCAAGGCAGACAGTCAGCATGGAAAACTTTCCATATGAAACAGAAGTGTTATAAGACTCTTACCACATTCATAAAGCAGATCTGGCCCAGAGATATTATGGAATCCAACAGTGGACATGGCAACTTTGAGCTTCTCTGTGTCAGGGAGTCACTGCAGTAAGAAAGGGTGTGAATAAGCAGCATGTTCCATACCCTGCATTAACACCCTCTACTGATATTTTTAGTGCTAAGTTCAACATTTTCATTATCTCAAAAACACTCTTTATTAACAGTCCAGAAAAATTTGTAAAAGACACAGTTGAATTCTGTTCGATAGTGGAGAATCACCTTAAAATCACAGAATCATTGAACTGCTCAGATTGGAAAAGACCTCTAAGATCCTCGAGTCCAGCCATTCCCCCAGCACTGCCAAGTCCACCACTAAACCATGTCCCCAAGTGCCACATCTGCGTGTCTTTTAAATCCCTCCAGGGATGGTGACTCCACGACTTTCAGTGCTTGGCAACCCTTTTGGTGAAGGAATTTTTCCTGATATCCAATCTAAACCTTCTCTGGCACAACTAGAGGCTTTTTCCTCTTGTCCAATCGCTTGTTACCTGTGAGACCAACCCCCACCTGGCTACACCCTCCATTGTAGAGAGCAATAAGGTCCCCCCTGAGCCTCCTTTCCTCCAGACTAAACACTCCCAGCTCCCTCAGCTGCTCCTCATAACACTTGTGCTTGAGACCCTTCCCCAGCCCCGTTGCCCTTCCCTGGACATGATCCAGCACCTCAATGTCCTTCTTGTCATGAGGAACCCAGAACTGGACACAGCACTCGAGGTGTCTCACCAGTGCCCAGCACAGGGGGACGATCAGTGCCCTGGTCCTGCTGCCACACTGTTTCTGGTGCCTTGTGCCTCTGTGTCACATACAAGTCCCCCTTTAAATGGCAGCCCCTCTGCTGCATTGTCTCACCTGTCAAGGTAAGACAATATATCAAGCTACAAGGCTGACAATTTGATGGTACCTAGAATTGCAAATTCTCTTTGTCACTTGTCTCCTGCTAGAACAATACAAGCTTACAGCCCGCAGAAAAACATCTCCCGAGGATCTCGTACTTAAAAGTTGTCATTGTTGCTCTGTCAATTTAGCATCCCAGCCCCTGAGATTCTCAAATTTGTCTCAGGTCACAGGGAGCAAAAATATCCTGTGTTTCCTTTTATCACTTCCAAGGAATCTATAATCTCCACATTCTACACATGTATAGGTGAAAACAGATTTACTCTAAGGAAGCAGAATGTAATTTTCTAATCAAAATGTTGCTAATCTAGGTGAAAGCATAAGAACTGTTGAACAGAGGTCTGGATTGTACCTAACAAGATTTATTTTCAGCTCCTTCATGCAGCTCATGTATTTTAACTGACCCAATGCCTCCTCCCACCGATCCTACACCTGGCTTTCAGATCTCTGAAACCACCAGTCTCTGCCTCTCTTCAAAATAGATCCCCTCCTGTCTTTAACCTTTCTAATCCTCACTCAGCCACTGTTCACATCATTAGTGATCTCATCCTTCCCTTCCTTGACGCGCGTTCCTTGCTCAGCACATTCCTTCCACATTAAGCAATTCCTTCTGCTGTTTACACCACTTTAAGCTGTCAGAAGGTTTATAAACCATCTATAGGTTCTTCACAATGTGCACACCTAAACCCCCATCTTTGTTTATTCTGAGCACATAACAAACAGTTTTGACAGTAAACTACTTACCTAACCCACCCTCCTCCTCCTGTTTTTCAGTCTGGAGGCTCATAAGATCAAAACCACAGAAGAAATTCTGTCTAAGGAGTATCTGCAATGACTGTGCATTCAGAGGAAGGCATCCCGAACAAAAAACCAGCCAGCACTCAACGTACAGATCTTTCAGGTCTGAACAGTACAGGATAACTAAGCAACAGATCACACAGCTGAGGACTCTGAGCCCCCAGTTAAAGCCACCTGAAAAAAGGGATGGTTCTTGTAAAAAGAAGACCTTTCAGTCTTTATTTTTAGAGAGGAAGAAAGGCTGTGTTTACATACAAAACTGAGAGACACACGACTACCTTGGAAAATAATGAGCTGAGCACATGAATTGTTTGAGAGATGAGAAGATGGACACAGGGAAATATAAACTGGTGTTTTGGTGTACAGATCCATGCATTTCTTTTGCTATCTAAAGTAAAAAAAAATTAGTTTTATGTCCCTTTTGAAGCTTGCAGTATGTGTTCAATTGCTCCAAAAGAAAGGCTTTGACTCTAGATTGGAGTCCTCACGGAGAAGAATCCAGCTCAGGAGTACTCAGCACCAACACTCAATGAAATGTGTAAGAGTTAAGTTGCAAACTTGGAGTAATTTTACAATGGATTGTGAAAGAGAGCTTATCTTTCAGCACTACATTTGGAAAACCAAAAAAGACTTTTATTTGAAACTCTTTCAGTCAAATAGCTTAAAATCCATTACTGTGAAACAACACCTAGCAGTTCTGTCCGTGTCCGGCAGAGGGAGAGGAACAGGGGCGAAAGAGCACTTGTTAAACAGCAGCGTTAGAACAAACAAATCAGTGAAAAGATATTTCCAGGGGAAGATACCTTAGTTTGGATTACCCTTGTGTAAATATAAAAGCCTCTTTATGGTTCACTTACACTTACAGGAACCCAGCAAAGCTTAGAACAGATTTGGCTCTTGACAAAGCCATCAGGCTGAAACATCGTTGTGTTTTCTGCTCTCTAGTTCTCAGCTGCATCTTCACAGAATTTGCCAAACTTTAAGAATATTAATTTATCATCTCTGGGCACCTAGTCAAACTTTTAATAATTTCCTTCTTACCTCCTGCCTTTTCTTCCTCCTGAGTAAATAACACGTTCTTTTGGCTTTGTTTTTAAAGGCTCATTCTGACTTCAAAGCAATTCCAAATATCAGGCTACTCATATAAGTGAGCAACTACTGTTTAACTGTGAGTAACAACATATTTGAATCACTTTAAATTTCAGGGCATGGCTCACAGTGCATCAGCTGGATTTCAGCTTCCTGCCATACCAGAAAGGGAAGTTGTGTACCTTTCCCGCTCCTCCCAGTCCCAGCCAAAAGGGTTTTTTTTCCTGATGTCAAGGCAAACTGAGTCAATTCACTCATAACCCAGCACCATAAAACTACTCTCCTTCCCTTTAAAGTCTGCTGCTGCTTTATGGAGTTTGATAAGTCACCTGTAGTTAGTGAGCAGGGGACTGTTTGAAGCTGGTAACCTGTTTGAAGCCTTCTAGTGAAATATATCTTTCTCCTATGCTTCAGTTCACCTGAATAAAGCACTGGTATTGCACAGGTGTACCTGCCAGGGTGTAAAGTGCTTGTGAGAATCCTGGAGGGAAGGTACTACTAAAGTACAGGCCACTATTCCTAATATCCTAAGGATGAGGTCCTTCGTTTCACTGCCACAGGACTGATTTCCCACAGGCTGCAAAGTACTGGTGAAGCTCCCTTGAGATAGTTTATGATGTGAGTAGCTTGCTCTCACCAAAGGAGGTCCTGTTCCACATTCTTACTTTATAACAGCTCTGGCAGTTGTCAAATGCCTCTTAGTTGATTCATCTCAGTAGCCCAGGAGGAAAAAGAAAGTGGATTTTTCTGTAGCTAAATTTAACGAGCTAGACTGACTCAGCAAAGGGTCTAACACAGCAGCACAAGGATGGTGGAACTGTGACAATGTGGGGGACAGTTTCTCTGCACCCCAGTACCCACATCTTAACCCTGAGGTGGGCCAGACTCTCCTTCTCTAAGCAGTGCATTGATAATTTAAATCAGTCATGATGTGAGGGTGGATTTATATGCATGGTTCTCAATAAAAAAAGCTTTTTAGTAATTATTAAATGAAGAGCTGGTATATTTATTCTAAGCATTTTAATGCAAAAGAGATTTAAACAAGAAAAGCTTTTATAGTGCTTTAAAAGCTCAAGAGCGGGACCATTTACACTCCAGTAGATATTCTGCCAGTAAGATTATCATGACTCCACTTAGGTTTTGCTTTGAGTACCAGCTGTTCCTAAGTGGAAAAACAAACTACTAGCCCTGTTAAAAATTTAGTGTTTGAGTTTACACAATTCCTGTGTGCAGCAGCCTGCAAAACAGGTTTGTACACTCTGAAGGACATCTGGCATCTTCTGAAGTTCTGTGGACTAATTGTTTATATCCTAGCAAGTACCTAGGGAATAAGTACCTGTCCAGGAAGAAAGAAAGGTTGGGTAACACAACCAATACTAAGTTTTTTCTATGTCTTGTCTGTGCTGGTAATCTTAAGGTAAGTCTTAATTGCTCTGAAAATACAGCACCTGCCTCCAGTTCAGCCTTTCCTGACTTGTAGGCTGTGTCAGGGCTCAAACAAAACACAAGCTTGCAATGCAGTGCTGCAGTCATTAAACCTGAGCTGTTAAATGCTCATAGTCACAGTAAATAACAAGTCAGTGGGTCAGCAGAATGCATGATGCTTGCTTTCCACTGGAGTTTTGTCTGTTATTCAACACTAGTAACCCACGAGCTCCATTGCTCAAAATGCTGTTACCTTGTTTCCATACTAAATGAAATATATCAGACACCTACTGGTTTATAAATGTCACCTAACAAGCAAAGATTAGTATTAAAAAAAAACAAAAACAAAAACAAACACAATTCATTGTATATTACTTTTTTATATTACTTTGTTTGTTTTTTAAACAGAAACATGATTGCCACACACAGATGAGAAACTTACTTGCAGTTTAACAAAATTCTAAATATTACAACAGTAACACAGGTGAGAGTCTCACTTAATTATACTCAATTTGAACAATAGAAACTGTGGCAATCTGTGTATTAAAACTGGCAAGGAGCTCGGCACCAGAGAACCACTAGAGAGTGGCTTTCACAAGGTCTTTAAAACTCATTCTTTCAGCTCTGGTGAAGGCAAACTCTTGGTGCTGCTTGAAGAAAAGACTTCAGCTTAGCAGAACTGTATAGTCTCTCGTGTGAAATACACTTTTTCTTCCAAAATTAATTTTTGTGGTGTTAGTGGGGATATTTTTCTTCTTATTATTATAAGGGCTGCCCTGTAGAGTGGTGTTTTCCCTAGATATGATCAGCTGGAAGCCCACATTTCTACCACCATATGTAGAATTTTTTGCTTGCCAAGGGTGTACACGTTGCTGCTGCTGTGCAGCCAGAAACCCTCTGGCCCTTGTGTCAGGATTATGTCACCTAAATGCCCCTTCAGGAGACTTGGTGTTCTCCAGTCAAAACTGCACCGGATTCTGTCCCAAATGGAGACCTTTATATTGTAGTTCTAAGCCCATCTGGTTTCAAAACAACTCTGTAATCTGTCCTACAGAGTTCTAATACAAATACTGCTGCAGATGACTCAGTCCTTGCACATCAGCACTCCAAGAAACTCCCTTCTCCCAAGGACTTGCTCTGTCTGCTTATAAACACTCACACCGAACCTGACAAGATGAAATGCTGCCACAGTAGTAACCAAATTCTGCTTGTTTCCCCTCTGTCCCTCACTGTTTCTTCCAAACACACCTACCTTCAAGCAATAATTCCAGGTTTGTCGAGGTTGGGTTTTTTTTTTAATAACTTCTAATAGTCACACCAGTCAAGGGCCTCAGTATTTAACAAGTCCTGCTGAATCTGGTTTAACTGGATCGTTTCTTAAATTATAATAATCAAGTCAAAGTGTGCTGAATTAGCAAAATTGGGACTTTACGCATCCTGCCAACTTTTGGCTGGGCAGGTACAGCAGTGTTGCCTGTGGCATCCCGCAGGAGCACGTGCGGGAGCTTTCGTGCGGGAGCGTTCATCTGGGCGCTTTCCTGGCGCAGCGCAGGTGCTGTCAGTGTCTGTCACTCTGCACCTGTGCTGTCCAGGACGAGCGCGGCGCGGTTTTACACGGATGGAAGTTCACCAGGGCGGTCCCCGCGGGCCGGGCGGTCCCGTCCCCCTCACGCGTTCGCGCCACTCCCGGTCCGCGCCCTCCTGCAGGGGGGCGGGGGCGGGGCCGGCAGCGACGCACGGCGCGCGCGAAGCCTGACGGGAATTGTAGTCCCTCCGCGCACAGAGAACGCAGGCAACTCAATTTCCCGTCTGTCCCAGGGAGGCGGGACGAATAGGCTCGCGCGTTGCTTGATGGGAGTTGTAGTTCTGGCGCCGCGCCTCGGCCGTGCGGCGGGGCGAGACCCCGGGGAGATAAAAACTACGGCGATGGCGGCCGGGGAGGCTGCCGGGAGCGGGTACGGCAGCCGCGGGCGGCCACGCTGCGCTCGCGTCGGGGCGGCGGAGCACACGCGGAATCGGCGGAGCGAGTGCTGAGTCGGTGCCGCCGCCGGCTCCCCCCTCACCCGGGAGACGCTTCGGGGCGCGGAGCCTTGTGGGGCCGCCACAAAATGGAGGCGAACGGCAGCGGCAGCGGCAGCAGCAGTGACTCGGCCCCCGACTGCTGGGACCAGGCGGACATCGAGACGGGCAGCGGCGCCGGCCCGGGCTGCGCCCCGCCGGCCGCGGAGGCCGAGGCGCAGCAGGAGCTGCTCGGGGCGGCCTTCAGCCGGCAGCTGAACGTCAACGCCAAGCCCTTCGTGCCCAACGTCCACGCCGCCGAGTTCGTGCCGTCCTTCCTGCGGGGCGGCCCCGCGCCCGGCCTGCCGCCGCCCTCGCCCCCGCCCGGCCTCCCGCCGCCGCCGCCACACGGTACCCGCGGGGCCGGGGCCATGTTGGGAGCGCGCCGGGCCCGCGGGGCCGGGGAAGGGCCGCGCCGGGCCGGGCCGGGGGGGACCGGGGGCACCGGGGGGCGACAGCGCAGGAGGGTCTCGGCAGCGGGAGGGGCACGGCCGGGGGGCTCCGCGCTGAGGGGCTGGGCCGGGCCGTGAGGAGCCGGGGAGCAGCGCTGGGGGCAGCGGGTGAGGGAGCCCCGAGCCCGGGGCGGCCCGGCGGGGTCTGCAGGTGGCGGGGGCTCTGCGGGGCCGGGCCGGGCGCGGGGGTCGTGCCCAGGAATGGGGGTGCTGATTGGGGTGCTCTGGCTGCGTGCGGGTCCCCTGTGTGTTTCTCTGGTACCTTTGCTCGCAAAGGGTCACCCATGACGAGAGGAAACCTGCCCAAAGCACGACAGGAGTTGTCGGAGGTTTTGGTGGTCATAAATTTGGTGTTGCTGGGGAGAACAGCACTGCCTCGGCCACCAGTGGCTCGCATGTGTCTTAAATGTCTTTTTGAGGATTATATCAAGTAGTTATTTTTTTCCAACCTAATGCTGATAAAGGATTAGCAGGGAAGGGAGTTATGTCCAGCTGGCTTCAGTGAATGGAATAACTTGAAATTTACCCTGCTTTAATTTCAAAGGATCTTTGTGTACGCAACCAATGTTTATACTAGATTTACTTTGCATATGGGAAATGAAAGGAGAGCTCCTTTTTCATTTCCAGCTCCAAACTGAAGGTCCTTCCAAATATAAGACATGCTGGTTAACTTTGTGGTAGCATTTTAATGTCACTCCTGCAGCTAAGGAGTTTAAAGCCTTCCTATTTTTTTCTCTAATTTTTTTCAATTATTCCTGTTGGTATAATATGAATCAAGCTAGTGTTCTAGATATTTATCTATTAATTTAATTTCACTAAAGAGACTACTCGTTACATTATATTTGCACTGTTTCCTGTTGGCTGTGGCTTATTATTTATTGTGTTCTGCTTTAATACATTAATTAGTCTTGCTCTCCCTAGTATCTAAAGTTATCAGGTGTTAACAACTAAAAACTATAACTTTCATATATGAAGGTTTAAAATTTTCATAGCAGAACATTATAACCTGTTTCTGATGGTAGAGCAAATGTTAGATTATATGTTCACTAGTGCTGCTCAGCACTCCTGATTTTTATCACAAATTGTAGCTCATATATATACTATGCAGGCAAAATATAAGTGCATTAAAATATACTTTCAAGAAGCCATGGGCAGACCCTTGGATTCCATTTAGAATAAATATACATGTTTAAGTTCACAGGTGTAAGGGCAGACTGGGTACCTTGAGGTTATGATGGACACGTGATGCACCTTTGACTAATCTGCAGAATCCATCCCAGCGTTTTTCAGATATTGCAACCTGAATCCAAGTATTTTTTTTACTATGTAATCAGTAGCGTGATTGAAAACTTTCTTGGTGTTTTGAATGTTTTTAGTATAACTTTGTGGGTTTTTGTCTCCTGGCTACTTTTGTAAGGTCCCTTCTGAGGCTTCCTATAGGTAGGGGTTTTTGTAGGATTTAAACTGCGTTTCCTCACCTGCTCATTAGATTTATTTCATCACAGTGTCCTTTGTTCCACTTGTGCTACTTCTGAGGCCTGTGATGAGCTTTGTCTTTCCAGAAGCTAGAGATGACTTTACTGAAAGCTGCCTGGCCATCTGGAGTGATCAGGAAGGCTTTTCTTTGCATCTTAGTTGCTGAGTACATTTCCTACATAGTGCCATGATCTACCTGGTTTGAATTCACCTTGATGCTATACCTTCTTTAAGGTTTAGGATTTTGAGTTTCTCTAAAAGTAACTTCGATATTCCTAAATTTAGGCAGACAAAAATGTGCAGTTATAAAAAACTAACTTTCTTTCTTACCTGGAAGACTGTACTTGTTGTGTACTTTTTCGTGTCTGATGTACTTGGGTACAGAAAGTAATTGACAGTCTTCTCCTTGCAGATGTTTGTATAAGGTGACAACTACTTTCCTGGCTGGAAGAACGAGGTGGAGCTTGCTCTGGAAATAAGTCAGAACGACATGTGATTAGACAATGGTGCTGAATAGGTTACTTTTCAGCAACCCATTTTGCTTTTTTCCCCATAGGTGTTCTGTGACACTCACTCTTCAGTACATGGTTTGTACTGGGAAGAATCTAAATTAATCTTGATTGTTAGGAAAAAAATCTAAAAAACTGGGTGTCAGTTTAACTTCAGTGGCTTAAAGTTAAACTCTAATAATGCTTTTCTTTTTGGAACTTTCTCTTGGTGAGGTTTCATTCAAGTCATAATTCCTCAGTAATTCAAAGGGCATTGTGGGTCAGGATAAATGTGTGGTAGCGCCATGGCATATAAAAAAATTCCACAGCACTGATTCCATTGTGTGGCTGTGGTGTGTAATGGTGTTTTTTCCTTTTATGCACACTAACTTCATGTTTCTAGTAATTTGAATAAAATTCCTGTCCCTTATGTTTAGAGCACAGAAATAACATTCTTGGAAGCCATTTAGGGAACAAGATGTTAACTTTCTAAAATTGGGAAACTCCTGAGACCTGCATTCTGAGTACTTTACCTTAAAACTTCTGGTTTATGCATGCTTTCTTTTGATTGGAAATTGTATATTAGGGAGAAGAACTGGCTTTACCATCAATATAATTTTTGCTTGCAGATAGTTTGGGAATTAGTATGGAATTAAATTACCATTTGATTATATGTAAAAGGCATGTTATTTACATCTTTGAACCTAAGCAGCATATTAAAGCCAATATGTTCCAAATGTTGTAGCTGTGAGGACTTGCTTTTATCAATTGTGTCCAAGTCAAACTCATTTGTGTCAAATCTCTCTCTGTTGGATTCTGTGGAAATGTGAAATGGAGACTTCTCTGTTTTGTGTCTGCACGAGGTGTGGCTGTGACACAGTCACTGGACATGGGACTGGAAGGATGTCATGAACAGGGGAACTTTCTGTAGGTAGCAGCTGCTGGACCAGCAACTCAATTAAGGCCAGGTGTGGTTGTGTTAAGGCTTCTAAACATTCTTAGTCACAACTGGCCCTTGCAACTTCACTCTTCTTTAGCATCTCTGGCTTATTTTTGTGCTGTGTTTTACTAATTTTGTAGTTGTATGTAAGATGTAATTATATTTGGGTGGCTTTTTTATTCAAGGCATGGTTCGGAGGGTACAGTGAACACCAACCCCTTGATTAATAAGACTTCTGTTATCTAACTTTTTTTTTTTTTGATCTTGGGTATGCAAGAAGCAAAACATTTCTGAAAATGCAGTGTAAACCTGCATTCTTGTGGTTCAATTTTTGTCATGGTTCTTGAATATTCACAGAATTCTTGGTAAAATTGATCACAGTTTCCTTGTATGGTCTTTACTATATTTTAGGTTAGTTTTTCTTGTTAGAATTATTTTTTAAGTATTCACTCAAAGTGTTAATTTTGCTTGGAGCAGGAGACTAAACTAGATAACTTCCTGGGATCCCTTCCAATCTGAATTCTTCAATGATTTGAAGTATGCAGTGGTTGTAGTAAGAAAAAAAGCTGTCATTAGTACAAAAGTAACAAGAACAAGAAGCATGTGACTCATAACAGCCGGTGTAAGGAAAGCCAGCATTTATCCTTTTAGTGGTATTAGTGCTACTGCTTCATTTAGTAGCAATCTTGACCTCTTCAAGTCACTTCCTGAACATCTTTATTAATGACTACAGTTTAAACAACTTGCACCTACAGTCCTGAGCCAAGCAAACATCTGGCTAAAGATCCAGTGCCCTTCAGTTTGCTTCACTCCCTAAATATCCTCACTCACCTGCAGTAGCCACTTTTAGTTACAATCCAGCAGCTGGACACCTTGAGCCTTCAAATGCTGTAAATAAATGGATATAGCATTTATCTTTCTGGTTTTCCCTGCCTTCGTTTTTTCTGACCTTGTAGCTAGCTGGGACATCCATATATTCCCCACGTGTTGCCAGTCAGGGAGGAGTTTCAGTATTTTCTGTTTCAGTTCTGGTGCCTGTAGTTTTCAGAGTAGGATGATGAGTTACCTGTATCCCTGGGTTCCCCAAAGCTGGTCATCTTGTTTTACACTGTTCTCTGTAGACTGTGTTTTCAGAATCTTCAACAATTCAGTCCTTGAGAGATTTCACTTTGTGCGTGAACTTGCTGAGAAAGTCTTGTC